TTGTTGGGTTAACTTAAAAAAGTAAGTAAACCTAGTTGACTTAAAATTTTTAGTTCATTGAAATTAATAATATGAGTTAATAGAATGAAGGCTCAAAAATAAGAGGTTAGTGACCCCTAGCGGCGAAAGAAATTACATATTGTATCTTTAAGAATTTGAGTTAATACAATGTAGGAGATACTTGTTGGTAACCTCCTTTTACAAGATAAGCAAAAGCTTTAAAAAAAATCACAAGAGGGTATTAGTGATGTATTTTATAACGAAAAATAAAACGTGAAAATATCTTGAGCTTGTGTTCACCACAAATATTATTTCAAGCATTTAACCAAAAACCCATTAAAAAAAACCATTGACTTCAGGACGATGGAAACAGAGGTGCTAAAATGAATACAATAAAATGAAATAGAATAGAATAAAATAAAAATCATTTCAGGGTGTTGGCCTACAAAAATACATCATCCCTGCACCACTCTATTAGAGTAAGGCGTGTGTGAAGAGGGAGACACAAAACACTTCAATGTTGAGGCAGCAGAACATTAAACTGGGCAGGGAAACGTGTTGCTAGGCAACAGATGCCGAACAAAGCTAACCGACTCAGCATAAAGGCAGGATATTGATAGTGCCCATGCATGAGCACTAGAGCAAACCGTCAGTCTAGACTATGAGAAAAGACCACTAAGCAGGCTTGATATATGGTGAGCACTGATTTACTATGAAGGGGGGGGGGGGGGGGGGATCACATGAGCCAATTAAATCATACTCAGACAGATCACAGTGAAGTATTTGATCTGTCGCAAAGGTATCGTTAGCATTTTCTAATCGTTATTCACTAAGTGCATTTGTCTTTGTCAGGCTAAGGCGAAAGCTTGGAGTCTCATCAATTCTGCGATCGATTTACAGTAATCCACCTGAGCTGTACAGGGACCCTCTGAGCTCAGAGTCCCGTCAAGCTCTGGAGCATGGCCAGATCCAGGCAAACACCAATGGGGAAAGTCCTCCCGATCCCATTCATCACCGGATCTGTCACATCATTTCTGTGTAAATACAGTCAAAGGTCTGTATCTAGTCAGGATGACGGACAGCATCAGTGAGTTGCAGCCATGCATCTGTGCTAATAACTGCCTTGTCTTAGATTCTCACATTTTTAAATACCCAGTTTCTCAAACCCTGTGCAAAGTCTCACCCCACAGACTTCCAGTATAAGTGCATTACTGTACAACTTTTGTTTTATTTTACAGGAGGATTGAAATTAATGTAGGGGATGCTGTCAAAAGTGCTTGTTCTTTAACGTGGAACAGTTCCCTCCAAAGTACAGTTATTTGTCAAAACAGCCAAAAATCACAGAACTCTTTTGAAAACTTTTCATACCTTGGTCTTTTTTTTTTATTTTTTATTTTTTTTTTTACTTTTATATGCATTTGAAAAGTATGAAAATCCATCATAGAAACTTTAGATCGCCATAGTGTTCATCATAGATATATGTTCATCAAGCAAAAAGTGATATAACCATAAACCACCATTTTTATTGCGTGAAAACGATTTCTATGCATTTTTAAATATGACGACTGTCCCATAATTTAGGTGACGTTTTCACAACAATGAACAATTTTACTCCTAATAACAAAGTGTTTTTGTAAAGTCTGTGTAGTTGTTTACCAAAGAACAAAGGGTGCCAGTGAAGAACATGTTTGATATGTGTGAAAAAACTTGTGAACAGAATATTATTGTGTCATTTCCAAACGAGCTGTCAAATTACGCAAAATTTGTAAAATAATATTCACAATACATCAAATTCTAGCTATGAAGTAGCCTTAGCAATTAAGGCACAGGAGACGACTACTTTGTTCCAAAGCAATTTCCACCAATGTCCTTTCCACAACGAATTACTATTGTTTTGAGTGTGGTAGTTGTGTGGAGTTTTTTTAATTTTTTTATTATTAATTTTAGAATAAAATGTCAATTCTCCTGTGATGCACTCTAGGACATTGTTTAATAGTGTGAAAATGTGCTCAAGATTTACTTTTATAAAAGTCCACAGGGCCAAAAGTGTTGAAGAAACTTGAAGGAACAGAATGCAAATGGTGAGCAGGAATATTAATCTCTGCAAAAGCAGAGTCAGCCTTCTCATTCTAGAAGAAAACATGCATATTCCAGCATCTTTTTTTTTTTTAAATACAGCCATCTGCGAGGGAGTTTCTCAAACACTGCAATAACGCTAATACACACTATCGTGGCGAAGCTTCCTCAGGATCACTGCTAACAAGATGTTTAACGGAGATGTGATAACTTCATTCTATACCACAAAAATGATCAATACTGTCAATGTTATTGATGGCAGCATTAAGCTCTGAGCAATATGTCATCTTTTGTGTTGTCTTTTAAGGAAAGGGTTTTCTAACTGAAGGATCGCAAGCGGTGCAAGGGAGTAAAAAAATAGAGAAAAGTTTTAGAGATGTCAAGTTAAGGTGGACTTAAACCATTACTGAATTATGTATGTTTTTTTACATTTGCATCATCAAATTTTATTTTCTATTGACATCAGTAGCATTTTACGAGTATTTTACAGTAAGAAACAAATCTTTAAAAGTTAATTTCTGACAACTTAAAAAGTAAATTATTTCCAAGAAATATTTTAACAATTTCCTTTTAGTACGATAACAATATGACAACATAAAATGAAAAAATACATACATGTATCAGTTTTAAAAAACTATTATGTGTGATATTGTATATAATAACTGATTACATAATAGGGTTGTAAATTGTCATTGCGCTAAAGCAATTTGTTAATATATATTAAACAAATACTTATATACTATATATTTAAATAAATAGATTTGTTCTCACTCTGACACTTATATAGCCCAATATATACATAGACACACATATAAAAAAATATTTTCATTTAAATGAGATGTTCAGACATGTCTTTTATGTTTTATGCATAGTCTGAAACATCTACAGAAATGGACAAATGCAACGACCCTCACTCTCTGTGCAGTGGTGTGAGCTGATTTTGTGGTGGCCTGCCAGTGTCCCCAGATGGGCAGTAGTGGGCACTGAAGCCCAGGGCAGAGCACTCAGCCTGGCATATTCCTGCACACTCATGTAGCAGCCACCCAACTGTACATCTGCACATTCAGGCCCTCCAGGTGTTGCTCCCCCTGCTGGGCAGGAGCAGTGCGCTCGCTGCTGTGCAGAAAAGCAGGGCTTATATAAGTGGCCTATTCTGAAGGTATAGAACAAGTGTCACCTCAAGGTAAGAATGTGGAGCAGCGGATGACAACATGTGCTGATTGAGTGATTATGAAACAAGATGGTGACAGTACCATGAAACGGGTCACGAAATGCAAGTGTAAGCAGGATGTGTGGAACTCGTATCACAGCATTTAGAAACATTTCCCAATGACAACTGATTTACAAGCCCTACAAGTAAATCAGAGTGTGATGGTCGTCTAAAAAATGCTTAGTAAAACTACAGTAAAATTAAATCTTTTGCCCAAAATAAAGTCACATTTAGTCTTTTTGCTACAGTGGATTTTGCTTAAATGAGTTGCTAACCTCTTTGCAGCAATACAATAAACCAAAAAAGGATATTTCTTATTCTGTACGAAATGTTTTTTTCCTTTGAATGACAGGAATTCCCACTGTCTAGAAAAACCTGGATATACAAAGCCGAAAGTTTCTTTCGGACGTTTTCTACTGAAGAAATTTGTACAATTAATCAAAATTATATAATTCAATCAGCATTTTTATGCCCAGCTTTAAAATATTTTGTTGTAGAAATGGTAAGTAAAAATATTTTTAAAAATGTTTATTCAGTAAATCACAAACAACTGGAAAAGTTATTAGGGTCTTTGAATTTTGTTATGGACAACGGAGTCAAAATGGTAGAAAACTACTGGAATAGGTGATATGCAAATTTGGATGGCCATATTTTATTTATAATTCTATAAGAAAAATATTCCTCAAACATTCTATTTAAGGGTATTAAATTTAAGACTAGTAATGCATTACATACAAACTCCATTTAAACCCTTTTGTAGCCTTACGTGTGTATTATTTTTTAAATATTTTTTTTACATCTTCTACTGTCTTACATTACTTGAATGTTCAGCATTCAAAATGTAACCAACATTGATGGCATCATTGGTATTTGCATAATTAATTACTTTGGTCTTCATCTATTAGCATGGCTGATTGGTCTTGTTTTCCTTGCATATATATATTTAATTGTATACCCACAACCCTATATACAGTACATAAAGTCACATGCTGAATGTCATGACATATGGCAAAGTGGCCTTTCAAGCACTGTGGTTTCTTTCAGGACATTCTAAACACAGTGTTTATAAACCTTGACTACACACATTCCATTCAAAATTTATCCACCTCCATGTATTCCATACATTTTAATCACTTGAAAAATGTATGAAAGCGCTATATAAATGCCTCATTCATTCATTCACTTCCCCATGGCAACATGTATCAAACTGACGATTGATGCACATGCCATGATAGCTTATTGATGGTCCTCACTACAATATAAGCATGTTTGCATTGCTTCTCACTTAAACATACATTGATGCATAATACAGATTTTTTTTGTTTTCCCTGGTAGTTTTGTTGGAAGCAGTGTAAGATTTCTTTAAACGAATGGAAATGTTCAAATCCACCTTCCAAGGTTAATTTGGCCGCTAAAAAGAGATCACTGGAAGACATGTGTGAGTTAAGAAGAGCAGCACATGAGCAACAGCACAGATGGGCCGATAACACACTATTAACTCACTGAATTGGAGTCCATTGCTGTCTTGAGTACATATGCATCTTGTTTGCCATACTGTTTACATCGCTTGATTACAGATTAGTGTGAGATGAGTGCACATGTTGGACAGACCTTAATCCTCGTAAAGAAAAAAAAAAGCGTAGGGTTTTCTATATGGAGTATATGCCACTAGGATATCTCTGAAAATAAGCAGATTAAGATACTCTATTGTAACTTATACCATGGTCTGGGTGAATACTCGATTCTGATTGGCTGCAGGGTGTCCATTAAAAAGTGATAGAGGACACCTAGTAAAGGAGTTCTGGTGAAACTGCCTGTTTACCGTTCGAAATTAATAAATAAATGCGCTGCCTACAACAGCTGTGAGTAACCATAGCAACAGGCAGTCAAAGTATCCGTTAACAATTTGCTCTATCAAAACAAACATCTAACGTTAGTTAGATATTACATAGCCTACTAATACAACAATGAGCGACTTCGTTATTTCATCTTCAGTCTCTCACGGACTGACGGAGCCCAGTAAGCCCGCAGACTGCTCTCGCATCGATGGCCTGTCACCGACATTATTTGACGGCTCTCCAGTCCAGCATCGGAGAGTCGACCTACAGCGGTGCTTCGGAGGCTGTGGTTAGTGTAGACTAGTGTAACACATAGTGTTTTATGTGTAATAAAAAAATAACTATGCCTACCTTTGTGTTTCATGAAAAAAAAATACATTTTTGAACCTGAAGGGTTCTACAAGCTGAGCGGACTAACGTTATATATCTCAAGTTGCTAAATAAATCGTCAGGCAAGTTATTATTTGAAAAAACTAGATTTAGCCTAATTAAAATATAAACTAATGTTTTAAAAATGTTTTATTTGGCAAGTGACCATGGTATAAGCGGGTTAATGCCCTTCGAGGTGTCCGTTGTAAGGTTTTAATGGACTTCGGCGGAGGGCGGTTTACACCTCGCCGTCGTCCATTAAAACCTTACAACGGACACCTCGTCGGGCATTAACCCTTACATAATATGCATTATTAGCAGTAGCAGTAAACCCATTAAATTGCGACATTTAAGTGTGAACTTCGGTAAAAAAAATTTATACAATTGTTTAAACTAGTGGTTCTTAACAGACTTTAAACTTTCTTTTTTTTTTTTCAGTTCTTTAAACTGTTATGGATGACTTAAAAGTATTTAAATGAATACATTATTATAAGAGGTCAAAAGTGATGTCCGGAGAGGATATTTGTTAATATTTTAAATATGAGGGAAGAACAAAACACTAAACTTGGTTAAGGTATTTATCTGACTAAATTATTTGCAACAAAAGGCAAACTACAGCTTTTTATTTATGCAAAAAAAAAAGCATATAAAAACAGAAAGCTCACAAGAAATAGCATACATTGACCCCAGTTATTAATCTTTAGTTTGTTCTCTCTTGTTTTTGCATGAGTTCATAATTTCTTTGCATGACAGCCTGGCCAAACATTATGCTCACATAATTTCTGCAACACATTTTAACAATATTTGACTAAATGGTGAAGATGTCAATTTACATATAGGCCGGACATCACTTTTGTGATGTTCACAAATTAAAATGTTAAAAAAAAAAACATAAAATCAATATAACTTATATTTACAATGCTTGAAACTTCTAGAATCACAAAATGAATCATTAATTAGTTTAATATATCAATACTCCCTGTTTCTGTTGGTGGACTTTGAATTTTGTGTTAGTCAAAAATGGTGAAACCCACTAGTTTAAATGGTTTATCGGTAACTCTCTAAAAAATTTAATTTTAACCAGTTTCGTTCTGGTTCAGTTCAGTTCTAAGAAACACTTTTATATCAATTGTTTGCAGATGGCAACTTTTTTCACATCATATACTTTTCCAAGTTGAACTTGACTTTAAATTTGATTTTCTATAACCTCACCAGCAGGTATGCAATATTCTACAGCTGTTAAGTATTAGATGCAGATGCACATGTACATTGTCCAAACAATTTTTAATTGCAAATAGATGGCAAAGAGAGATAAAAGCAATTCAATAACATTGTTCTCATCGCGAGTCAATATGTTGGAGAAAAAAATGCTACAGGCACGCTGATAAACCTCACTCAACGAATTGATTTTAAAACCAGAAGCAACCACAATAAAAAAAGTACACAGGCCACCAATGCAGCCTTCAACCAAACACACACACACACACAGAGAGAGAGAGTCATATAACCCACCATTATGGGGTAATCAACTTCCCCATGATGAAAAAGTAATAGAGATTGGGGAATGTAGCCTGCGGTTGTAGTGTGAAATTTCTAATAATACAGTGATAGACTGGCCTTTAACAACACTCACGGTAGTCGTGTGTTATTATGATATCATAATAAAAATGCCCCAGAACTAATCTAGATTCTTTCCATTTTTTTTTTTTACAAGGAGAAGCAGGTTATGAGGGGTGAAAGTCTCCTGATATTCTGTAAATAAGAAAACCCACCCAGCAAAGATAGTAGGGTAGACCTGGAAATTCGCAAACTGACTTGAGACAAAATCCTACAAAACAGAGTATTCGCATTTCATTTTCTAGTTTGAATTTTTTCACCTGGGTTGTTCAGTGTTGTTCAGTCGATGCTTGCCTTCATAGTTTAGCTCCATGGAGACCAAAACCAAGAGCAACATCCCTCCTGAGTGTTTACGCCGCACATGACAGTGTATCAGGCCGAAGCTGATGCATCAGCTGTCTCTACAGGATACCAGAAGCTTGGGGATTATGATGGCAATCCTAGAGCAGCAAGAGAAACAATGAATGAACAAGAAGTGAAGGGTATGACCAGCTCTTTTATCTGACTTTTGGCGACTGTAGCCCTGTTCCCATATCTACGCTGCCTGGGTGTCTGTTGTGTTACCATTCACACAGAACACGTTTTTGTGTTTAAAACCGCAAGATGCAGGGCAGTGGAATGGGGGAAAAGTTTAACTTATTTTAACTTGAGCGCGGTTTTCAAAAATGCCATACCATGCGCAAGACGCTCCAAAAGACGGGATTGCATTGGTCAAGGACGTCTGACTAGCGCATGTTTTCAAAGAAAAACAACAGAAAATGCAAAAAAGCTTGAGATGCGTGACAGTGGAAGGAAAAAAGGCAAGGTTTTGAGATGCGTTGGTTTTTTAAAAAGTTGAACTCTTTTAATTCGAGTGCCACGTTTTTAGAACAGCCTAAAATAGCCGAGATACAAGAGAAGACACAAACGCATCAATCAAAGACGTCCGTCCAGCGCAGGTTTACATAGAAAAAACAATGAAAAGGTAGTGCAGTGAGTGGAATGTGCGAACGGCCCCTTTGTCATCACTGGAACAAACAAAGGCAATGCTAAGCTAATAAACAAAACAAAATAATAGCACACATAAATATTAGGTGAAATTGTAGCTCAGTAAAATATTCTCTGAGAAAATGTAAAGAAATGTTGATATTCTAAATAGCTATATTTTATTTAACACCAAAAATCTATAAAATAGTAACATTTTTACCAATGTTACCCAATATGTACATTTTATTTATTTATTTTATTTTTAGAATAAGATTAGCTTAGCAACGTGCTCAACAACAACAGCATTGTTGCAACATCTTGCTTAGTATTTTGTATTATTTTTCCTTTAAAAGATCTAAAAAAAAATCTTGAATAAAGATATATTCAGAGAAGCAAAATTACTTAAAATATTAGGTCTCTTTTTCTTTGCAAAAAACATCAAAATTAAGTGAATTTTTGTTTAAAACAAGAAAAGATTTACCTCAGTGAGGTCAAAAAAATAAATTAAAAAATATATAAATCTGACCCCATTGGCAGATATTTCTTTCTTATGTTGAGCATTACCTCACTTCATTTTGAACAAATTTTCAGTAAGACTTTTGCTTCTCAAATAAATGTATCTTGGTTTAAGAATGTTTAGATATTTGTACTGAGTAGCCTAATACTGAGAAAGAAAATATTTTTGCAGTTTAAATAAAGCCTTGATTAAAAAAAAGGCTCAAATTATAACAAAATATTGTCAATGCTACATTCACACACCCTATGAGACAACGCATTCAGTACAAGTAGTGAGCGGGTGTGCAAGAGAGCCGCAGACTGTGTGTTTGTGTGTGCCGTTTGCTGATCATTTCAGAACGTGATGTCCTGGGACTTCATTATTCCACACAGACGCATCACTCTCACTGAAGGAACCCTAATTGGGGGATTCAAAACAAACACACAACAATGTACACAACTCCCCCACCCATCTACAAAGAGACCTCAGCTGACTGCCAAGGGCAATGTCACTGGGACAGCCCAGCAGATGGGCCTTTCAGTTTTCGTTCCTGATGCGAGTGCTTGCTGGTCCCATGGCAGACTGGTTGCAGCAGGTTATGCTCTATATGTTTGCTTAATCTATGAAGTGTTACCAAAATCTACTTAGTTGTGTGGCTGTAGAGGGGTAATACAAGTTACAACACTGGGTGTTATTTATAGAAAAGCTAAAAGGAGTCCACTGTAAATGTGCTAATGATGTTAACATGAGGGAAATATCAGGACTGTTAAACATATCCCGAGACAATTCCTGACATCCAATATCAGAGGAGAACAATATCCACCATCCATGTAGAACAAAAGCCTGTGTCTAATTCTTTGCCGTGTGTGTATTTGTGTTGTGTGAGAAGAACAGAACTAATCTCTCTTCCATTCAACATTGGAGTTACACTATAATCTGCTCACGTACAAAGTACTGCAAGGTTCAGTACAGATATGTGTGTGTGTGTGTGTGTGTGTGTGTGTGTGTGTGTGTGATGGAGTTTAAAAATAGAAAGGGGCATTTCAAAGGTAATATTATGAGAAAGAAGAGAGCTCCAATAATCAAATCACAAACTACTCTTGTTTCTATAACCCTCCTTGAGTCCTTGTTCTTTGCAAGATGATCAGACTCAATTAAATTAAAAAAATGTAGTGTATCTAGTGCAGGGGTTTTCAAACATTTTGCTCCTATGTATATTTGCTCCAAATATAATGATCCCCTCTCCTAAAAAATAAAGGCAGCTATATATTTTCATAAAAACCCATATACACTCAATTTGAATTTAAATTAAATAATACATTAAAATTAAATCATACATTAAAATTAAATCATTCAAATAAAATTAATAAATAAAATTAATATTAATTCAAATAAACTAATAAATCAAATTAACATTAATTCAAATAAAATATTAAAATACAAATAACCTAGAAAATATTTACTTTGTATCAAATGTATCTTCTTAGAGAAACAATTTCAATTTGTTTTAATTTCAGTTAGTTGTATAGAATGTTTCACAGTATATATATATATATATATTTCCAGGCCAGTTTTACACTTTGACAGCCCTACAAAAAAGAAAGAAAGATAACAAAAACAGATTATGTGATAATAAAAACACAACTTTTATCTCAGCTTTTTTACAGACCTCATATAACCTTTTTGTGCCCGCCTCTGAGTCCCCAGGGCATAGTTTGAAAACCCCTGTGCTAGTGTACTCCAAAAAGTTTAAATATATACAGTATATATATATATATAAATAATTGAACAAACTTTTTTTTTTTCAGGAAAACACCAAACACCAAATGTGCATCATAACAACACAGTCTGAAACACTTCACTGGCTGTAATGCCAAAGATAAACAGTGAAAAGTACTATTTTTCAGAAACTAGGCCTATTGGCCAAAAATCTACAAGAATATAATGAAGTATTTGCAACTGAAAACTGCATCTACCATCCCAACCCAAAACCCACCAAACCTTGACCCCTTGGTCAACACTCAACACAGTAACGAAAAATGCATTGTCGAGCCATGGCTGTGTAATTTCAGCACTGCTAGCCTCACCACATGGAATTGCAAAAATAATTATATTTTTCAAATGAGCTTTCCCGTCTTCCCTCCATCTGCCATGAGTCACACAAACAGTTTGTCCAAAACTACAGTTAGGTTAGCCAAAAGACGACATACTGGGCTGGTCAAAACAAACAGAGCTTAGGGCACAGAGCAACAGTGTTTACGCATTTTGGGGATAAATCAACTTACTAATAGTTTTCTCGGCATTTTAAGCTGTGACTAAGAAAGCGTTTCACCTCTAAATGAAGACAAAGCTTCATTTGGAAGGAGGACATCATTTATAATATATTTCCCCGGTATTTTTGTACTTTAACTCACCTGCAATTTTGAAATGTTTAAGATTTTGAAAAGTAGGCCACCGCAGTTCTGTCGCCATCTACTGGACTAAGCGCGCGACCCCCACGAGCCGTCAAGACGGGATGTTTTGTCGCAAATCAGGAACTGTCGTAACAGACCTTTTCCTTAGCGGCAGCTGTACACAGATACACGTGTATTCGGAGTTGTGAAGATACATGTAAGTTACACACTGCGAATATAAATACAGCTTTGAAGATGTTTAAACATAGAATATCGTCCGTATATTGGCAATAATTACGTCTATAAGTGGTGCTTTTACATTATGTCTGTTAAAGTAGAAAGCTAGTTTTGCATATGAGGTGGCTAACTGGCTAACAATAATCTTCGTTTTCACAGCTGAGTTTTCTTACACAAATCTCTTGCTTTGAAAATACTAAAATATATACGGGTGGTTGGTTATGAAGATAATAACAACAGATATGTGAGGGTGTCATGTCTGATATCTGTATGCTTCTGAAAATACTAAAATATAAACGGGTTGGTTATGAAGATGACAACAGATATGTGAGGGTGTCATGTCTGATATCTGTATTAGTGCTTATGTAGTGACCAATTTTACACAATTTAACGTAGGTGTTTCACTAGATTGACAGGCTACAGGAGTCATGGAGCCTCTAATAATGCGTTATTGAGGCGAATCGGGTGTCTAATGAGGGAGATGCCAAAAATGTGTAAATATCAAGGAAACATTGTGTATTTCAGCCCAGGAAGAAAATGATACTTATATCTCTGGATTTTTTTTCTTTTTTCTCACCTTAGTTTCCATCAAGATGGCAAAGAGTTTACGCAGCAAGTGGAGGAGGAAGATGAGGGCTGAGAAAAGAAAGAAAAATGCCCCCAAAGAACTGGCACGACTCAAAACAGTGCTGGGTCTGGGAGAGAAAGGAGAGATCACCATGAAAGATGTAGCTGAGATCGCCACCGTGGTGCCACCTGAGAAAGTGAAGGAGAAATCAAAAGATGCAGAGACACATGAAGAAGATGGTGAGCTTTTATAGAAACATTTAGCACTTCTAGTTATAGTAAGTGTTTTATTTGATCATATTCAATTTTATCTGTTGTTGGTTTGCAGAAGATGGTGGAAAGATGGATTTGGACACTAAACGCAATAAAAAGACAATGTTGGACGATCAAGGACGGTATCCCGTCTGGATGAACCAAAGGGAGGCGAAGAAAGTGAAAGCCAAACGTTTGGCTAAAAAAGGAAAGCCTAAGACAAAGAAGGGTCTCGCCTGGTAGTTGAATTGAACTGCTTGAGCATGGACATTATTCCAGTATCAGCTGCATGGGAGCCTCGCTGTGCATCACTTTCATGTACAGTTTGTACGTTTCTATGGACTTTTTGCATGACCTCGTGCAGAAATATTCTTTACAGTGTTTGCAATTGCAAAATGTAATTGTGATCTGTTGGTGACAGACACTGTGCAATGTAATGGGTGAAGGAGAGTAAAAACACTGTACGTTACCTGCATTCAGCGTACCACACACGACTGACTCTTCCAATAAAAGTCTCTTTTTTTCTCTACTCCAATCCATGTCATTCTGTGGGTCTGCTTTACTTTAAAGTTGTGAAGTATTATGTATTTTCTTTGCAGACAGAAAAATTATGGATGTGCATCCTGTTTTTTATCTTAATAAATCCAATATATCTCATGGGAAATATTGTCTTTTATTTTGTTGTCAACACATGCATAATATTGAGTCAAAGAAAAGAGCAAAAGCCAGTTTCTTGGCATATAAATCTTGGAAGTATAAAATTATGTATCTCTATAAAGCACAATGGTCAATTTTTGTACCAAGCAAAAGTCTTTATGATTGCAATAAAGTTCGAAATTAACAGCTAACAATTTAAAATATTACTGCTACCATACTTTTTGTTTTAAAGTTCGGAACTGGGCAAAAACGTCATTGGAAAATATGACTAGTTACATTTATTTCATGTGTCATAATATATACACTACCATTCAAAAAACATTTTATAAAGAAATGAACACTTTAAATCAGCACTAATGCATTCAATTGATCAAAAGTGACAGTAAAAATATTTCAAATAAATGCTGTATACTTTCATTAAACAATTCTGTAAAAAAAAAATGGTCATGGTTTTTTTTTTTTAGCAGGACAACTGTTTTCAGCATTGATAATAAATGTTTCTTGAGCAACTAACTAATATTAGAATGATTGAAGACTGGATTCAAATGATGCTGAAAATTCAGCTTTGCCATCACGGAAATAAATTACATTTTAAAATATATGAAAAAAGAACTGTCATATTTCATAATGTTACTTTATTTTACTGTATTTTTGATCAAATAAATGCAGCCATGGTGAACATAATAGACTTCTTTCAAAAACACTACAAAACCGACCCCAAACGTTTGAACGGTAGTGCACCCAATCTAACATCTTTGTAGAAAACAGTTCATGTCCACGTAATCTGGTAACTAACCATGTGACTTGAAAGGAAAATGTTGTTCAGTTAATAGATACAGGCTCATTAAAACATGTTAGTATATTGCACTTGTATGTCAGAAAAATGAAATAAAAGAGAATTGTCTGCAAGTGGCTAAAAAACATAGATTTGATCATTGATTATTAGTAACTACATAAGCTCCACAAAGGTGGAAGGAAACAGGCCTGTGCGACCATGACACGTTCCTTTCCACCAACCCTCATCCACCATCTCAATGTTAGTGATGATGTCATCTGGCATGAAGGAGATCTCATCACTGGCCTCTGCAATAGTATGATTGAAAATAAATTACATAGTTCTTAAGAGTCAGTTAAGAAGCTATTCAAGCAGATACAATGTCATTAATCAGTTGCTGTTATGGTTGTACGTACCTCCTTGGTAGTCATAAATGGCTTTGGCTGTATTTCCCCCTCCACTTAGATCTTCATAATCATTCTCAACAGCAACTGAAAAAAATGAGGAACTACAGTTGTTAACAATCACAAAAATTTATAGCAATTGTAATTTGAACCTAGCCTGGGAAAACCCAGACAACTTCCGGCAAATTTAGATTTGCTCTGAAAGTTAGTCTGGCAAAGAGCTCCTTCAAACCCGTTTCCAATCCGTCGAAACCGCGGCACCAATCAGAAACGTTGGGGCGGGCTTTACACGATGACGACAGCGCTGGGATTTTGAAGCAGATTTTGTAGCCTACATTACAAAGATGGATGCCGCCGTCGAACATCACTCGTTCGAATCGGCTATCGCGTCTGTTTTAAGCGATTTAAACGTTTCCTTTTTGTTAAAAACCGAGCAAAGAACAACACTCTGAGATGTTTCTCCGCCGCTCTGCATACGTCATCTCCTTCATCGCTCTGATTGGGTTTAGGTCTATCCGCGACGTCCGTTGGTGACGCCCCTCTGGAAATGATTTGTCTATGACGCTTTGCCAGACCATAACTCAGTTACAACTGAGAATGGTCTGGTTTTAACCAGGCTAATTTGAACCATCTATTTGATCACACTTCCCACACAGTGAATACATGTAGTAAATATTGTGTGTCAAACCTGCGAGAGTGCATGAGCTAATATCCTCATAATCTTGGTCCTGAGGTATGGGGTCAGGATTACATTCAGAATACGTTTGCTCCTCCTCTTCCTCTTCAATCAGGTCATCTGAGCGGGGCGGAAGAGATGGCGGCTCCTCATAGTCCGGCTGCTCCTCCACCTGAAACACACAGAGAAACTGATGATCAATTCTCTCACTATATGAGCTTAAAAAGACTATGACAGTTTATTACTTGACTTAATTGTGTCTTACATTTTATCAACTTACTTCATGGGTACATAAGAATCACCAATAAGACTGTTGACATTTTTCAGAAGAAAATTTGTAGGCACTGCTATGCGGTTCTATGTAGTTTTATTTACCACAATATTATGCGTTTGCTAGGGTCAGTTACCCTTTATTTTAAAGTGCTCTCATTGCAGTGAAATTATACATTTAAGTACTGCATAACATTAATCAACTACATGTGCACACTTTAGGATTAGGGTTTGGTTTAAGATTAGTTGCATGTAATTATGCATAGTTTACTGTTATTATTACAGTAAATTCAGATTCCAGGGGTCAGAAAGTTAAAAAAGTCCTGCCATATGTTTATTCCACCCATGAACTGAGCCAGCTGATTTCACTAATTAGTTCTATCTCCTGGCTGAAAAACTGTGCTAATTAGCAAATCCAGGTGATTGGAACAAAATACTGAGGAGGACTTTTACTTTCTGAACCTGGACTTTACACCTCCGAGTAAGTTAATGTAACATATGTACTGTAAAATAAAGTGTTAGCGTAGGGTGTTCTGAGTTGTTTCCGATTAATGAATCTGGAAAACAATTCACAATTTGGGGTAATATTCTGCAGTTTTACCATTTGAACATGACCATTTTTGGACATTCAGTCACTGTTAGAATTTAACACACTTTTTTTGCCTACTGTACCCATGGACGCGGGAAGTAGGGGTGCTGCAGGAGCTGCAGCACCCTCTGTTGGCAAACTGTGATGACAATAAAATGATAGCTTAGAAATATATCTCTGGTTGTTGTTTCTGTTCCACAACATTCTGTGTGTCATGTTTGGGGTGTGGGATGAAGAGAGGGATATTTTTAGTAATTATTTAATTAAAAATTATTTAATTTATCTTCAGTGTGTAGTATTAGCCAATCAGGTGTCTTGACGCGAATCACAGCATACGCACTTACGCAGCACAAAAAACAAACAAACACCTAGTCTAAAAAACTGCTAGTGATATGAAGTTAGTCTAATGTTAGTCTAACGTTATAAATGACATTTTAGTTTATATGCACGCGGCAACATTTAGATAGGCCTACTAGACTTTTGTGTGTGTGTGTGTGTGTGTGTATTTGATGAGCTCTTTTCCAAAACGCGATAAACGCCATAAAAAAAAAAGAGTTTGTCATGTCATTTTGCTGTGTTCTGAGCCTATTCACTGCTCCATCAATGTTTCATGCCAAATCGCTATATTTCCTTGTTTAAAATGTACTGCAAGATGCAGTTCTTTTCCAAAACGCGATAAGCGCCAAACCTATTTTTAGCCTAGACGCGATAAATCCTCTCGACAAATCAGAATTCACTGAGCGCAATCCTGCGCAAAACATCTGCGCGCTGAACAGAGGTTTGTTTATGTTCATTCATTCCTCAAAATGAGTGATAACACTTTTGATGGCCTTGATGAGCCAGAGAGACCTACACCTGGGGTAGATGCTGCTGCCAAAGGTTTCTGTTTATTGTATAATTTCTGCCAAAAATGGCATTCGACAATCAAGGAGCAAAAGTCGAATCTCGTTCGAAAATCTATTTTTTTATTATTTTTTTTATTAATCAACTGTTTTCTGTGTGTCAGTGTCTGCAAAGATGAAATTGACGATCAGCATCTCTGTAGTGAACGCGCCTATAGAGAGAAATGCATGTAATGGATTACATAATCAGAGAGTAGGCTATCCTATTTATTTTCGTTTTTAATTGTTTCGTTTAAAGACATTTCAAGCTTTCTGTATATAGATATATTTCTCATGTCTGTGAGGCATACGATGAGTTTCGGTTAATTTATGATGAGGTGCGCTCCAGTTCACGTGCAATGCGTGACCGCGCCGGCGCCTCCATGTCATGATTATATTGTCTATTTGCTTATTATTTATTAAATCCAGGCAATTGGTTGATGAAAAAATTATTAAAATTAAGATACAATTTATACAAAACGAAATTCACTTTAAAGAAAGGCTTTCTACAAAACAAAACTTAATTAAGTGGCCAAAATCATCCATTTTTGGATTTTTTTTTTTTTTTTTGGATTTATAGCGTTTTGAAAAGAAAATTAACTTTGAATTTATCATCAACAATATTGTTGTTTGATTTAATAATCATTGTTCAACATGTTAAGACTGAGGGGGAAAAACATTTTAACAGGATAAATTGAATATTCACAAAATGTGTGGGTCTAGGTAAAAATTTTAAATTTCCTGAAAACTATTGAAATGGATTTATAGCATTTTGGAAAAGAGCTCCTCATTTGTTTTTTTGATTTTATCTATAAAGATCGTTGCCGTGCTTGCATCACTCCCTTACTCCTCCTATAGTCCCTATGGCCACTTGGCCTGCGTGAATGCAAATGGAAAAAAAAGGTTTTGAGGGAGAGTAGTAATAATTCGTTATATTTATATAGCCCCCCCCCCCCCCCCCCGGCACCCAGCAACCCCTGTCAAAAATGACTTCCCTCTGACTGTACCTGTATATGTAAATCATCTATGTTATGATTGGCTGTTCGCATGTGAAATGAGTGATAAAAGCCCCACCAGGTTGCTGAATGCTGAATAGATGTTTATGTATAAACGCGGGCATCAGTATGTTAATGTGCTCATGGTTGTGATGTCATACTGATTTCCGTATATGGTCTGGGTAGGAGTTGTGCGTTGTGAACATTATGTCTAAACATTTTTTTTTTTTTTTCAAAAGAGCAACAAGCAACAACAATATAGCAAAAAGGGTCTTGCCTGAGCTTCTGTCTCTGGTTCATCTCTGGGAATTTCAGGCAGTCTTCTGAACAACGCCTCTGGAGGATTCCGGGGTGCTGGCACAGATGGAGGTCTCTGATTCTCTTCCTCCTCTTCATGCTCGCTCTTCTCCTTAAAAGAGAAGATCATCAGCTAAGTGTTTATTAGTGTATGAAAAAGAAAAGGCTGGTGTGCGTGGGTGGGCTATCTATTGTTGTCATGCGTTTCTATTAAAGTGCAGCGAGTATTTCTCTATATATGTATATATATGTATGTATCAAATGTGTACCTCCTGTTTGCGATGTGCCTCTTCACGTTCTCTCTTCTCTCTAGCGAGTCTTCTGGCTCTCTCCTCCTCGGCTCTCTTCCTGTTCTCTTCATCCGAGGACTTCGCCATGTTCTCAAACCGAGCCTTAAGGTTTCCAGCTCCAACAGTTGCTATAAACACCAAGAACAGATAATCAAATATTTACAGTGTCCCTGAACAGTATATGAACCATTATTCAACAGTTAAAATGCATGAATGCCATTGCATCACTACTCAAAACCAAATTATATTAAATGTATAATTTCCAAAGACCTGTGCAACAAACACTCACAGGCCTCGAAAGCTTGAGGCTTTTCATAAGCTGATGATGGTGACTCCATCTCACTGAAGGAAGCTGCACTCTGTGAGAAAAAAAAAAAAACACTCAATATACATTCACTGGGAAACTGTCAAACCAAATGAATAATGTATGGAATCCCATGTTTGCCTTACAGTAAAAAAAGAAAGAAAGAAGAGAATTTATATCTCACCGTATCACAATGCATTTCGCTTTTGCAACCTTGTTTTTCGTAATTGCACCTTCATGTAAATCTCACATTGTGACTATATCTTACAGCTGTGATTATTACTATTATTGACTGTTGTGACTTTTCTCATAATTTCAACTTGCCGTCTAAATCGCAAAGTGACTATATATCTCACGACTGTGACTATTTCTCGTAAGTGCAACACAAATAATGATGGCATAATAAAAATATTTGAAATGTACCTTGTCCATGCGATCTGCTTCGACTCCATAACGTCCTCCAAAACCCTTTGCATAGTCTGAAATAACAAGTGTCGCATCTCTAGCTTCAGTTTAGTTTAATACATCACATGTTGTAATATGAACTTTGAGATTTAGTTATCTGGAAAATCAGAACTGGTTCCCAAGAGCCTCTGACTGTCAGAGGTCTTCAAAGCCTCAGGCCACGAGACTTGCAAAGGAAGATGAATATCAGCTACTATTTTCAATCATCTAATAATAGAAGACACAATTTTTGTCACCCTTGTTACAAAAATTAAGAAAAAGGGGCACTAGTTGTGGCAGGGGGCCCCAAAGTCATGGTCCCAGGACCCTCAAAGGACAAACATTCAGAGATGGATGCCAAGTGTTGTGACACCTCTGCTATTACAATCATTACAAAACATCAGAATAAATAAGAGTTTTGAAAGAGTTTCCCATTAGTCAAATGATCTCAGGAAATATTTACAGTACCTTTCTGTGACTGATGTTTCTCGGTTTCTCCTTTGTAGTCGTAACCCAAAGCAGCCTTGTCAACCTTTTCTTTTTCCACGCCGTATTTTCCCCCAAAGCCCTTTGAGTAGTCTGTGAGAAGTTCAGAAAACAGAATTATCCTTTAAAAACTATCCATCCACCAAAAGGAGGCCAAAGTAAAGATTGAGGACCAGGATGCTGGTCAATATAACAGCAGAGATTGACCTTACCTTTCTGTGACTGATGTTTCTCCGTTTCTCCTTTATAGTCGTAACCCAAAGCAGCCTTGTCAACCTTTTCTTTTTCCACTCCGTATTTTCCTCCAAAGCCCTTTGAGTAGTCTGTGAGAAGTTCAGAAAACAGAATTATGCTTTATAAACAATTCTTCCACCAAAAAGACAACAAAATATGGATTGAGGACCAGGACGCTGGTTTAAATAACAGCAGAGATTGAAATGACCTTTCTGTGACTGATGTTTCTCAGTCTCGCCTTTGTAGTCGTAACCCAAAGCAGCCTTGTCAACTCTCTCTTTCTGTACACCGTACTTGCCACCAAAACCTTTAGCGTAATCTTATGAACAGCAAAGAAGTGACTATTATAGAAAGAACAGACAAAACAGAAGAGAAGATGCATAGTGCCTGAAGTGTTTTGAATGTATGAGTACCTTTCTGAGATGCATGCTGCTGAACCTCACCCTTATACTCATAGCTCATGGCAGACTGTAGTGAATCAATGATAAAAGATTCAAATTCATGTATTCAACCACATTTATTAAATTATTAATCATAGGACCGTTATGAGAGGGTTTCTAACCTTGTCCACACGGTCCTTCTGAACACCATATTTCCCCCCAAAACCCTTTGCTCCATCTTTCTGGGATGAGTGCTGTTCTACGTCCGCCACATAGTTGTGTCCTAAAGCACCCTGGGAAAATTCAACACATCATTTGTTTGATTAAAATCATCAAACTAATAGCGTTGTTTGAATTTGCATACATACAGTAGTGGCCAAATGCGATGTCCAGAGGGTATATTTGTTTTTAATGACCCTATAAGTTTGATTTAACCATCAAAATATGAGGAAAATATTTGATATTTTTTAAATATGGTTAAGGTATTTATCTGATGAAATTATTTGGCTAAAAAGGGCAACTACAGCTACAGGTTTGATTTAACTATGCAAAAAAAAAAAAAAAGCTCACAGGAAAAAGCATACATTAACTACACCATAATCAGTTATTAATATTTTGTTTGTTTTCTCTCTTTTTTCGCATGTGTTCATAATTACTTTGAATGACAGACTGGCTAAAAACGATGTTCGCACAATTTGGCATGATTTATTGCGTTATCACCAATAAAACAAGTGACTCCAAGCACAACTATGCAATAACCTTACAATTTTTTTTTACAAATTCTTAATATGATTTGAATAAAGGGTGAAGATGTAAATTTCGGTAGGCCGGACATCACTTTTGGCCACTATACAAACGAGTTACTGTACACTAATGTATACACTCAAAATATTTGAATACACAATAAATATTTGTAGACATAAGGTGCGGTCACATTAGTGATTTTTCAGTAAGATTTTGATGCCAATTGGTCTATTAATAATAATGAATCGATGTATGAAGCAGAGCTCACACAGAAGTCACTTTCAACCAAGCAGCTTTCTGTAAATCAGTGCAGCGAATCTGCAAAATTTGCCTAGGGAAATCTTTTGCCAATTCCCAGTTGTGTGGAATCCTATTGAAATGACTGGATTTAGTGAGCGAAAATTTGCAGAGCAACAGTAAATGTGACGGCACCTTTACATTTTGGCCTGTTCTCAAGTCTAACCTTGTCCATTCTGTCTTTCTCAACTCCAAATTTCCCTCCGTAGCCGTAAGAGGCTTTAGGGCCCTGGTCCATCTCTTTCTTCTTAACCACCTCATGTTCCCGAGACACATTCTGCCTGAGATCTGCAATGCTGCACACAAAAACAGGCACATCGCATGTTACTACACGCTGCATATTTACCATGGAATGTGGCACTTTTGTTTTGCACCCAAATCTTTGCATTTGTTTATGGTGCTCATCTATGTGTTCAGCATGAACATTATGAAAATAAAATAAAATATATAGATATATCTTATATTTAAAATGCAGTGCGTCAATGCAACATCTTGTTCCGCTTCTGACATGACGTGAGCTTGAACTTATCAGTCCATATTTGGAAATGCAACTCAAGTCGGCAGCATTTCTACTTCCTATTTCCTCACTGCAGAGAGTGACACTCTTTTCAGCAGTGCTTTAAAGCAAGGTGCCATTAAAGCAACCTGATATTTCGTCTAAAATCTCGAGATAATGTTTTCTGTATGTGTATTAACTGTTACCTGATGTGTTCTTTTCGGCCTGATCCTTCTATGGTTCTAGCACCCCATCTCTGCTCCTGCTCTGAAACATCATTCTGAAACACAAACACATTTTTATATAGAAATCTTAACTCTAAATCAGGGGTGTCCAATCCTGCTCCTGAAGGGCCACTGTCCTGTAGAGTTCAGCTCCAACCCCAATTAAGCAACTAATCAAAGTCTTACTATGCATACTAGAATTTTCCAGGCAGGTGTGTTGAGGCAGGTTGGAGCAAAACTTTGCAGGACAGTTACCCTCCAGGAGCAGTACTTTACAGTAGTGCCTTTAGAGAACTTTTAAGTATTATCCCTGTCTGCTTACCTCAAAATTTGGATCTGTGTCCCAATCGTCCCCCTCTGATTCGACCTTCACACTAACATCATGTCCCACCACAGCTTTCCACATCTATAGAAAGAGAAGCCAAGATGTCATGGCTCATGTTACATTTCCTCATGTACAGACATTTTTGAGTATTTAAATGTATTATGCTTAAAATCCAGCCATAAGAATATAAATGTACTCATAAATGCGTAAAAAGTAATATTTCAGTAAGTGACTTATTGTAATAAAATGTAAAGCAGTAGTAAAATAGTCAAATTGACAATGTCAAGAGAGAGTAAGACATCATGATCACATCTTAATGGTGTAATTACACATATTTTAAGTTTTATGAAAAACTAAAATATTTTCGTTTAATCTCTATAAGTGAAACAAAGAGTCAAGTGTTGTTGCACTTTGCAAGTTCCTCTTTTTTACTAGAGAATCAGAAACTTTTGCATGGTCACGACTTCACGAGAATAGGCTACCAGTACTTTAATTTCAACAGTAATCCAGACCGTGAACTCTGTACTGCAAGCACAGTAACGTTACAGGCAATGTACAAAAAGATATAAATTTGACTTCCTGCTACAAAAAAAGTTCTAGCAAAGTCTCACGATGTATTACCCACTTCCTGACTTAAAAGTTTAGGTTTGTTTATGCATCCGTAATAACAATACGAGCAGATAATCATGGTTACTCACTTTATAGTGCTTTTATTCCTGGCTTTGTGTCCGTTAAGTATCAGTAGTATCAGTGCGCGCGATAAACAGCATCAGACCTGCGCTCGAATGCGCGCCGCGCGTAGTGCACAAGAGGCGTCGGGCACGCGTTCACGCGCATCTGAATTCCACCAGCGCATTTTTGACCGATTCAATTAAAAGGTAAACATATATTAAAATAATAATCTTAATTTTGTAAGTGATCCAAATGTCTTAAAAAACTACGAATAAATTAATATGTAATAGAAGCAGTATTATATGTTTTTAATGATTCTTCGTTGCATTTATGAAACATTTTATGTTTGGGTCAGATCCGAGCCGGGCAGGTCGAGTGAAGCATTTCGGCACCCTTTAAAGAACTCAAAACGCAATGATTGTGTATTTATTTCAAACACAAAGGAATGAAACATTCTAAAGATCAAATTTTTTAAACTAAATCAAAGGTTTACTGTACAATCTGCTGTACAAGAACAGCACCACCACCACTATGTGTTTGTCTTCACATAAATAGACTTTATTTCCAAAAAATAGCCCCTACAACAGGGTAGCAGGAGGGAGAGAAAGGATCATTTACAGAGATTTTACAGATTAAACACTTATTGGGCTGTGCTTAAAATCTCACTGTAAGAGACAACATTTTAACCATAATCTAATCCAGCCCTATACAGCCCAAACAGATCTGAGTGACAGTAGAATAGTGAGAATAGGAAGTCTGGCTCTGGCTCAGAAAACCTGATTACTCGGAACATGAATGACTTGAAGCTTGATGAAGCTGACTTGACCTGAAACCGAATCAAAACATCTAAAGAAATTGGTAATAAAACAATCCAAGATTAAGGCATTTCATTTATGCCATTAAGGGTAAATAAAAGCAATAGTAGTCCAGGTGTAAAGACCATGATGTGTAGTGTGTTAAAGAAAATAAACAACCACCAAACCTACAAATAAACCGGGAAAAAACAAAACATAAATGACAGTATTGCACCAAGCTGTCAAACTTATCTGCCATGAAAGAGAACGTCAGCAAACTAGGACGTTTCTAGTAGACGCGTACAGTAACTGTATCAGCTTTGCCCTTACATTACATTTGAATGCACTGACTTTATGCAGAAATAAAGAGATATCAAAAAAACTAATTATAGGAAGTTGGAATGTGGTCAAAATAAGTATTTTTATGTCTACCTTTACACAATTTCACAGACAATGTGAAACCCTGTTTGACAGAAAAGGAAAAAAAAAACTGATACTATACCATGTCAACTTCATCTACATTTTACAAATGATGCATAAACATTCCTTCATTAATGAGGGCGTCCTTAAAAGGGTAAAACAATGTTCTTGAGGAAGTGCAGGTAGTGCTCTAGTGTTACTAGTCAGGACAAGTCCCATTAAAACTGGGTGGAAATTATTTTTGTCAGAGTGCTCCGATAAAAATAGAGAACAAAACAAACAGAATCAGATGCAACTTTGGTATTAAAAAAAAGCAAGGAAAAATGTTCACAGACAAATGTAAATTAGCTAATCCTGTCCATTTGTTTTGTTTAGTATAAGTGAATGAATATGTAACTGTCTTCCGCTCAGTAAAGCCTGATGAGTCTCTCTCACAGATATCCTCCCATGCATAGCAGCAACAGTACGTGAACAGTCAGCAGGTAGAGTGACACCAGCAGAGGGGTGCGCTGACGAGAGCAGAAGGCGACTCGCAGCATCCGCAGCAGCCCAGGTCCACCACTACGAGTCTGAGATAAAGAAAATATATATCAAATATATACAGTATATATATATATCCATGGCATGTTTATACCAAATGGTGTGGAATTGCATTGAGGTTTTGTTTACCCGTGTAACAGCACCCTCCGGTGGCTCAATAAGTACAGCTGTCTCTGACGTCATGGCTTCAGATGCTGTCTGCCACTCCCCCTGTGTATAGCTGTAAATTATGAAGGAAATTGACATATGTTAGTTTCCAAATTATGTAATTAATACATTTCACATAAAGGCAGTCTGCAGCAATAATGCCCAGAGTCAGGGGCAGTGAGAGTTGATGTTAATCTGAGATATGGGTCAAACCGTTTGAGGCAATCCTGTGCAGCGATGAGCTCCTCCTCTACTCTGAGTCTCTGTTCTGACTCCTCATCCAGCCTGATGGAAACACACACATAGAATTGAAGAGTTACTATACAGCAGTGGTAAGGGGGAAATTAAAGTTAACACATGGAAAGTCATTGAAAGAGTCATGAGAGACCCATGTAACCAATGATTTATAGTTTAATAACCTACTCAAATAGTCTAGAAGTATCTCTAGACTCTATCTCAGGTAATTTACTGTTGATATTTGGTCACCATGTATTTGAGAGAGCAGCAAAGTGTGGTAAACACAGTACTGGGTAGATTACTTACAAATTGTTACACGATATTGATTCCAAATTACATGAGAAAAAATTTATTTAGTAGCGTAATCCATTACATTAAACATTTTAGGTAATATAATCTGACTACTTTTGGATTACTTTTGACCTACTGTAAATCGTTAATATATTCAAAACACTATGAAGAACACCCATTGATTTAAAAAAAATAAGACTAATAGAAAAAAAATCAAACAGAGAGAAAAAAAATTACTATGTTTGAAAAGATAAACATTACTTATCACATGCTTTCACAATTCCTTTCAAATACAGTATGAAGTATTATCTACAACTGCTAATAATGCAGTTTGTGGCACCGGTGCTAAAGAGATTGACAAAATGCAACTGTAGATCAGTATAATTAATGAGAAGACTAAACTTGGCAGCAGTACCTCCTCTGGAGTTCAGTGAACTCCGCTTTATATCCCTCGTTGTGCTCTAGAGGACCACCAGGTGCAGCATCTACTGCAAGGCTTCCCTAAAGGACAAAGAAATCAACATTGGATGCATCAAACTAAAGATAATGAAAGAGATCAAGGACTTCAAAGATCTATACTTAAATATAAAGTGGGTCTTCAAAAGTCTGAGACCACAGAGAAATAAGCAAAAAAAAAAGTCCCATTTCATACAAAGCGTATTACAGAACAACAGTACAATGAATAGACTATAATTTATAAATGTCTCTAGCTACAAGAAAAGAGGTAGATGAATTGACTGAAAATAGAACATTTATAGGCTGCTTCCAATATCTCATTCTTGAAAAGGAGAGTATAGCTTTTTACCTGTCTTTGTGTGTGCTCATGCTGTAATTTTGATGCACGTGCTTCCTCCAGCATGGCATTAAGCTGGCGAACCTGTTGGTCCCTGTCTGAGAGGGTGGCCAGGGTCTGCTGCTTCAAGAGCTCGGCCTGGCCCTGCCAGTCCGTCATCTCAAACCTACACATGTAAACAAAAAAATTAAGAAATTGTAAGAGAAACAGTATTTTTCACTTTTGGAGGGATAGAAATTCTGGTCAAAGAATGCAAACATTTCTGGCTAATTCATTTTAGGCTGTCTGTACAGCCGTTTTCTGCAAGACTACCACCAAAACAGCAGAATGGATGAGGGCATGTCATAAGTTAATCCTATCAATCTTACCTGAGCATTTCCAGTTCTTGCTTATCTCTGTCCATCTCGGCATCTCTATCCCTCAGCTCTGCCATGATTTTTTCCACTCGTTCCTCTGCCTTTCTTCTCTCTTCCTCTAAAGCCTGAGTGAGCCTGGATAGTTCACCAGATCCAAGTCGATCCAATTCAGAGCGCTGCGACTGCAGCTGTTCCAACTGAGGAACCATGAGGGATGCAATTAATAGGTTGCAAACATTATTAAAGGCGGCAGGATGCAATATTTTTATATTTCCATTAAATTCTTAGGTAATCCATTACATACCATTCTTTCCCTGTCATTTTGCAGTGCTGCTAGAGCATTTTTTAGGCTCCACACTTCTCCTTTGGAGCCACTAGGGGGAGAAGCTGGGTGAACCGTCCGGTTTATGTCATCTAAACGGAGACGCAGCTCTTTGGCCTCACTGACAGCTTGATCTCTTGAAACCTGCAGAGAGGTCATGGCTTGACCAAAAGACTGGTTCTGAGCTCGAAGCTGACAGGCTGCTTCCCTCTCCTCAAGAAGCTGTTGCTCCATCATCAACAGGTCTCGTGCCAACTCCGCCACCCTCTCCTCTGCTGTTTCAGCTTCGGTTCGCAGAACGCCGCCTTCCCACCGCAGCTCCTTCAACTCTTTGCTGTGGAGTGCCTGGGTCTCCTTCTCCAATTCCAAGGTCTCCTCCAAGGTGGTGATGCATTTTCTAGCAGCTTTGAGCTGTTCCCTGAGCTTCTCTACCTCGGCCCCGGGAGCATCTTGCCTATCGACTCGAACATTTCCTTCGCTGGCCTGGATTAAGTTCTCCTGCACCAATGGAGGTACCTTCCCTTGCGCAACGTCTTTTTCAAGAGCCCGAATATGGCTCTCAAGACCTTCTTTCTCTCTCTCCAGGAAACTGATGCGCTCTACTTGGGCAGCAAGAATCTGCTTGTGCTGGGAGTCCTTCATAGCAAGAACCTGGTTCAGGTCATTTCTGTAACCATGAAGCTGGGCAGCCAGCTTGGCATTCTCTGCATTGAGGTCATCCCGCTGTGACAAAAAGGCTCGAAGCTCCTCCTTTAATCCATTGTTTTCACCTGCAGCCTCCTGGATAAGGCTGTCCTTCTCCATCATTACCTGAGAGAACATGAGATTTTAACATGTCCGAATTAAAAAAAAGAAATTATGCAAATGAGGCTATGCGATTGAAATTTCAATTTCAATGCGATAGTCAAATTATTCAGAGTAGCATTACCTGGAGGTGTCTTTCCTCTAGCTGCTTGTATTGGCTGAGTACTCTGTCTCTGTCATCCTGCAAGGAGCCCATAGCCTTGGTGAAGGACTCCAGTTGCGCTCTGCTCTGGAAGGTATCCTCCTCAGCCTTACGGAGCCTCTCTTCTAAACCACGTAGCTCTTCTCTCCTCTCCTCCAGCTCTTTTTCTGCCATCTCAGCCCTTCCATCTGCATCCTTTCTAGCCTCATCTACAGCCTAAAAGAAAAGAAAGCCTCCTGTATTATTATTTAGCATTAAATTACGAATAATGAGATGAATGAATATGCATGGATTCATTTCAGAAACTATGGTATTATTCAGTACAAGTACCTGTGTCACAGCTTGCTCCTTCTCACCAAGGAGCTCCATTTCCCTCTTCTCCTTCTCATCTAATGCAGCCTGAAGAGTTTCAGTAAGGTTCTTTGAAGATCCCAGGTCTGTCTCCAGTTGCTCAAGCCTCAAGTATAGTCTCCTTTCCTCTGTCTCCCTTTCCTTGAGCACTGCACGTGCCTCATTAGCATCACCCTGAAGCTTAGACACTGCTTCTTCTAGGGTTTTGGTGCGGTGCCTTAGACCCTCTGCCTCTGTCTCCAGGGTAGTCAGTTGGGTGCGAGTCTGGGTCAGGTTGGTCTCTACCAGAGTGAGCTTCTGCTGCAGATCTACTCTTTCTTTCTCAAGAGCTGCAAGGCTTTCATTATGTTTCTTTTCCACCTCAGACAGCTCAAGTTGTAGGTTATCTTCTGCCTTTTGCATTCTGCAGACATACATTTTATTTATTATTTAAAATTGACAGTAACAGTAAAAGTATAATTACCAGATGTTAACAGAACCTGATTCAAAATAGCAAAAAACAAAACAAACCTTTCCAATAAACTCTGGAGCTCATCTTTTAGGGTGGTCTCCTTCTGGAGTTGCTCAGCTAGTTCTTTAGCACGAGTCTCAGCCCCCCGAACATCAGCCTCCTTTTCCTGTAGTTCGCTGTGAAAACGGCTCTCCCATTGCTTGGCCTCATCCAGCACTCGATCACGATCATCCTGCAGGGACGACATGGAGCGCGAAAAGGCTGCTAACCCAGCCAGTGCTTTATCCAGACGGGCTTGCATTTCCTGGGCATGCTTGTCTGTGGCCTCAGCAATACTCCTTGCCTCCAAGGTTGCCTCTTCCTCCCTCTCCCGCTCCCTGTAAGATTTTTCTAGTCTTAATTCCATCTGTTTAAGCTCGGCTCCAAGGCGATACCTGACTTCATCCAGGGTACGCTCTGCATCTGCCTTCAACTCGACCTCTTTGCATTGTACCATTTGTTCTGCAGCAAGCTTGTTTGCTTGGGCCTGCTTTGCTTCTTCCAGTGCCATGTCTAGCTTCACTTTACATGTTGAAAGTTCAGATGCAATACTTGTTCTGTCTTGCATGTTCTTTGCAATTTCCAAGCGCGCTGCCTCAAGTTCTGCACTCAGCTCATCTCTACCCAACAGCACTGACTTAACTTCTTTACCGAGTTCACTTATTCTTTCCTGGTACTCAATGCAGTCTCTCTGTAGCTGACGGACTTCAAGTTGCTTTTCCCTCAGCAGTTCCTCAAGCTGACGTGTTCTGCTTTGACTACCTTCTTTAAACCTCTGTGCAGATTTCAACTTCTGCTCCAGCTCTCTTTGTTTGCCTGTCTCAGCCTCTGCCTCTGCTCTTTCTCGTTGGGCCTGCCTCATGTCCTCCTCCATCCTGGCTGCCCGGCCCCTCTCACTTGCCACCTCAGCTTCCAGCTCAGCCCGCTCTCTCTCCAGTTTCTCCAATTCCCTCTGCATGTCCGTAAGGCGATCACGACTGTCAGATGCCTCTTGCTGGTAGCCTGCAATGCTGCCATTGAGCTGAGCCAGCTGGTCCATCAACCGCTCCTCCAAGTCATCTCTTTCAGCCTCTAGGCTAGTGCGGAGTTCTTGTAGTTGGGTCTCTTTCTTAGAGCTCTCTACATTGTGGAGGCTCTCTCTCTCTAAAGTCTCCTGAAGCTGCTGGTTGAGGGAATCCAGCTCTGCATTAAACATGGATTCTTGCTTGTTTCTGGATTCCATGTGATCCTCAAGAGCAGCTTCAAGATCCCTTATCTTACTCTCTGCCGTCTGGAGAGAGGTCTCTAGCTCCTTGAGCCTCTCCTCTGTTTGAGCATTCATTTTTGCTTGCAATTTTGTGACTTCTTGTTCAAGTGAAGTATTAATGGATTCCACTGGCTTAGTGAGATCAGCCTCTAGGGAAATGCTATCATTCTGGTACTCTTGGATTTCAATTAAATCAGGACTTCTCTGCTGTGTGACGACTTTAACTTCCTTAAAAGTCTCCATGGAGCATGTGTCCAGGGTTTCACTGCCCTTTGTATCAATTTCCTCAGCCAAACGCTGTCTTAATTCCTCAGCTTCATGCTCCAAAGAGTTTTTATCATCCATAGCAATATTATAATTTGTTTTCAAGGTCACAAACTCTTGTTTGACTCTCTCAAGCTCTTGTTTCAGCGCAGTTTCTGTATGTGTGACCAATTTCTTCTCTTCCTGCTCCCTAAGCCTTTCATTATCCTCCTCTAGATCCATAATCTTTTGATGTTTGACCTTGGCAAATTTTCTCATTTTTTCTTTTACAACATCCACCTCCTTCATAGCTTCCTCAGCTAACCTCTCCGCCTCTTGTCTGGCTACCTCATGGGCTCGTGACTTGGCTGCTAACTCCTGCCTCTCCTGTCGAGCAGCTTCAAGCACTCGTCTCACTCGTTCAGCCTCATCACTCACATTTTCATATGACTTGAGGAGAGATTCATACTCTTCTTTCATGCTTTGCACTTTTTCTTCCAGCTGCCTGCACACTTGTTCGGATTCTTCTTTGGCACTCTCAGCTTGTCGTTTGCATGCATCCTTCTCATTCAAAACACCCTCCATAGCAAGTTTAAGGCTCTCACAGGATGCACTCAGACTCTGGTTTTCCAACAAAGTTCGATCCACCTCCTCAATTAACTTCTTCCTTTCTTCTCTTGACTTGTTCAGCTCCACCTCTATTAACTCCAGCTTCTGTTGTAGCTCTAATCTAATCTTCTCACCAGCAGCCTTTTCCTCCTTCAACGCCTGTCTCTCTTTGATTGCCTCCTTGCGTGATACAAGAGCAGCCTGAAGTTTACGTTGAAGCTGTTGGAGTTTGGCACTATTATCCTTCTCTTCTTCCTCACGTTGTGGCATTTCGGCTTCCAGTTTTTTAACCCTATCTTGCTCAGCTTTAAACCCTTCTTGTAATGAAGCAATCTGCTGATCTTTCGCCAGTACTGTTTCCTGCATCTTAAGTAGAAGTGAACTTTGTTCACTAAACTGTTGGCTTAAATCAACAATCTCATCATTCTTGTTTTTAAGAAAGTGTTTAAATTCTTCTACTTCTGACTGAAGTGCTTTGATTAAGGACTCAGTATCTGATGTGCTTCTTTTAGCTGCTTCCCATGCCTCATCCACCTCCGCTTTCAACTTCTCTGCATACGCTTCGGCTCTCTGACATTTCTCCCTAAGAGCCTCTATTTCCTTGGTGAGAGCATCAATCTGCCTCTCCTTTTCTCTCAAGTCTTCAAGTTCTTGGGAAAGTTCTTTGAATTTGCAATCTGTAAGTGATTGAGAGGATTGGCTCTCTTGTAGACACACCTCTAATTCCGCACGTGCAGCCTGCTCAACTCTCAATTCCTCTTGGAGAGCATTTATAATGTCCTCATTATCTTTTATCATGGGCTGCTGAGATTGCTCAGCAAGTTTATGTTGTTGTGTCTCAGTCTCGGCTGAAGCAAAATCCACCCAGTCCTCCTGAACCCAATCGTTTGTCTCTGGTTTCTCTAGATTCTGTGTAGTAGACTCAACATTACCATCCACATTCCCACTCACCACTTTATCTGCAGCATTATTTGATTCTAGCAGACCCTCTAGCTCCATAATACGATTCAACAAGCCAGTTTTCTCTCCCTCTTCAGTTTGGAGGCGTTCAAGAAGCTCACTGCATTCTTCTTTCTGCTGTTTCATCTGCTCAAGATGATGACGATCTTTCTCTTGAGCTTTCACAACAGTGTCCTCATGAGCATCAGTAGCTTCCTGAAGCTTTTTATGCAATGTTTCAATGTCAGATTCCATGAACGCTATCTGTGAAAGGAGTCTATTTTTGTCATCAACTGCCTGTGACATTTGTTGTTCATTCATTTGTACATACTGCTTTGTCAAATGTTGTATTTCTGCATGCGACTCAGTCAATGCTTGATCTTGTTTACAGATTTTTTGTTCCAGACTTGTTAAGGTCTTATCTTTCAAACTTAAGACATCTCTGGTTTCTTGCAACAAAGCATCAAGTCTCTGTACTTCTAGCTCTTTTTCCTTAATTTCATTTTTAAACTGAAGAGTTATTCCCTCATTATCATCTCTTTCCTTTTCTTCCCTGTTCTCAGCCCCCTTCTCGAAGTCTGCAACTTTTTTCATCAATTCTTTCCGCTGTATCAGAGCTGCCTGCAGCTTTCTTTTGACCTGTTCTCCATCTTTCTTCATGGCAGCCATTTGAGTAACCAAGTCCTCTTTTTCATTTCGTAAAGCAACAATTTCCTCACTTTCTACTGTTTTATCCTCTAGGGTTTTCTGCTGGTTATCCCTGACACTCTCAAGTTCATAAATTTGCTCTTTTAGCTTTTTGACTTCACTGGTTATTAAAAAATTTTCCTCTCCAGCCTGGAGTAGTTTGCCAGTCATGCTATCATTGATTTCCATCATCTCCTGGTCTTTCTGTGAAATACACTTTTGTAGGTCTTCCAGATCAGCCTTCCTGTCAATGAGAGCAGCTTTTGCCATGTCAGCTTCCTGAGAGACCTGCACTAACCTGCCCTCTATATCCAAGAGCTTCTGTTCCAGTTCGGAGGAAGCAAACTCTCTGTCCTCCAGTTGAGCAGCCAGCATTCTAGCTTGACCTTCTTGTTCAACAAGTCTTTGTTGGGCTTCATCAAGGCCTGCCCGTAAAACTTGCAGCTCATCATCTTTAGAGCAAAACTCTTCCTTCAAGTTCTCAAACTGATTAGCAATACTTTGCCCATCTAATTTTTCTTGCTCAATCAATGCCTTAGCTTCGATCAGCTCTTTCTCGTAGATATTTGCCCTGGACTCAGCCTCATTTTTGGAAACTGTAAGTGACTTCAAAGCTTCCTCCAGCTGGAAGACTTTATCCTGTGATTGTAAGGTGGAGTCTTTAAACTGCTGAAGCTCTCCCAGAAGTTCACTGTATCTTTTCTGTATCTCTTCAGCTAATACCTGTGCAAAAGCCTGACCAGTGCTTGAATCTGTATTTAGCAGACTTCCCTCCTGTTGGCCAAGACGTACCTGTACAGTTTCATGGATAACTAAATGTGGTGATTCAATATCAACTATGCAGCTAGTTGATGCGACCTGCTCATCACAGGTCTCTTCCCAAGATTGGGTGGATAAGCGTAGTGTCGCAAAGTCCTGAACTTGGGGCGACCACTCTTGAGTCCCATCTTGGTTGACTGCTTCCAGAAGAGTCCAGCTACTATGAGCCACCTCTGAATCACTGCTTGTCACCATCTCATCCGAGGAAGTACCCTTTGATTCTCCAGGAGAATCAGGTTGAGGTGCTATAAGCTCAGGGCTACTCTCATTGCCAGCAGAGACAGACAGAACAGAGGTGTCTACTGCCACAAGTGTTGTCTCTTCCTCTTGTAAGCCTTCAAGAACCTTAGATAGAGCTGTAGAGCTGTCGTGCAACTCAGCGATGTCTCCTCTGATTACACTGTCTGCACTTTCCTCCTCTGGGATATTCAGAGTTTGGCCTGTGGTGAGTGACAGTTTTTCTCTGAGAGTGAAAAGTTCTCTTTCTCTATCTGCAAGCGCATGCTCCAGAAACAGTATCCGATCAGTCTGGACTTCATTTTCTGAACTATGTCCATCTCCACTGTTATCTGAAACCAAAATCATGAGACAATCAAGTGAAAATCATCAAATAACTCGAGCATGCAAAATGTTTGTTTAAACATTGTATGTTTAAAAATGTACGTTTAAAATGCATATTGTTCAAGTATAAATTCTTAACTTCCTGTTTATGTTTTGTGAGGAAACCTGTCTTTCTGGTTGTCCTAACTAATATCTAAACATTACAAACACTGCAAACATTTTTAGTTTAGAAACCACAATGTTCTCTACTAGAAAGCAAGACAATTATGGAAGAAAATGGGATTGCTGTTACTAAAAGAATCACTGCAGTTTAAAGTACATTCAGCTACACAAGGGCAAATATTAAACTTACCCTGGTGTGCCCTATCCAAATCCTTCACAGACAGGTCAGTCACATGACCACCTAATGACTCACCAGTAACCTAGGAAAGACAAGCCTTTGTTACAACAAACAGTCTGCTCACACTAATGCATGCTTATTGAGAGTGCACTGGTCTGCTCAATTCCCACAGTAACTGCAGTTATTTGAACACCATACCTTTATTAATACTTCATAACTATGCCCTTTTATGTTGGGCCAGAAATAGGAATAGATGATGAAAGTCGGGAGGATTATATTATCTCTGGCCTGATAATCTGTGAGACAAACCGTCTAGGCATTAATGTCACCTTGTGTCTGTTGCACCAGACACAGATACATCCAAATGAGTTTGCTATTAGGGATGCTCATTTAATTTATTTAAATAATTTTCCCGACCGACAACCGCCGCTCGTTATCCGAGTATTAACCGTTGACTGATAAGATTATAATATTGAATTAAATAAAAATAAAATTGAGAGTGTCTGTGACACGAAAAAAAAAAAAAAAAAAAAAATTCACGGGTTTATTTTAACGTGCAAACAGCAGCATACAGAACAGATCAACACCAGAACCTGGATTCACATCAAATTTTCACATACTTGCAGCATTTCTGACAGTGACAACAGAGAAAAACAGAATAACATAATATAAATAAAAAAAAAAAAAATAGGCCTACACTAAAAAAAATTTTTTAAACAAAAAATAATTAAATTAAGATGACAAAAAGAAAACACTGAATCTGTTTGAAGCTTTGAAAAACCGGCAATTTTTTTTCCGTCAGACTAAGTTTTTTCGTCAAATAAAAATAGCAGGCCTACCTCAATCCACACCTTGTCTAGTTTTTATTTTAAAAAAGTAACATGTCTACATGATGTGGGGTTAGTTTGGAGCGCAGCCTGTTGAGGTAGACCCCCGGAAGAAAACACCCTCTCCGATGGCACAGATGTCCCGGGAATACAGAGATAACGTCTCCCTAGAGTGGCCAGCTTCGGGAAACACCTTTCATTTGCTTGTGGATGTTTGCTTCGCAAGTGATATTGCATTGGACTTGTACTACTGCTGTATTTTAATATTTTGCAAGTAACTTCGTCGCCCTTTCTGACGAAATGGTCCCACACAGTAGACCTAGCCTACTTCTTTTCGCGCACTTCATTTTGCTTGCTCAGCGAAATATGTCTGTAGGCACGTGTGGTTGTGCGTGTCGAAGCGCCCCGTGAGTTAACAAATATAGGCTATATAGTATTTTTTTAAACGTGCAGCAAAAAAAACCAAAAAACTTTTAACTGTTAAACTGATAGTACAAATCGGTCAAAAATTGTACTTTCCGTTAACGGTTAAACGGTAAATATAAGCATCCCTATTTGCTATAGCAGACACATTGCCCTACACAAGTACATCTTATTCTGTAGAGCATCTCCGTTGCATTAATAACTTTTCATGCTTGTTTTTGGTTGCAAATTGTAAGTCCGATGACTATGAAAAGTAATAGAAAAATAGCTCAACTGTACAGCAATCTGTAAGATTTGAAGTATCATTCATGTCCATAGCTTAAATAATACATGACAGATTTAATACCAAGAACCCCAGGTACTTATTTGAACACTTAAGCATGAGCAAAAGTAATAGTAAAGCTTGCTTTAACTCTTACTAATTGCATTCAAAAGACAGTGTTTGCATTAAAAAAATGCAACGTTTAAAAAGCTTCAACGTATTTTTGCAATCCACCTACCTGAACAGTCAGAAGTTGTTGCTCCAGTTCCTGTATCCTAGCAACTGCTTCCTCTCCTTCAGCTTTGCTTTTATCAAGTTGACCTAGAGCATCAGGTGCATTAAGACATAATTACTTTTTGATCACAGTACAAACAACGTGCCCTATATTGTTCGTTTGGTTGATAAAATGCTTCCAAGGACAGTTTACTCAAACCACAAAAGCTGCTTTGAACTTTGTTCTCCTGAGCTGTTTACCTTGCAGAGATTGTAGAGTAAGTGTGATCTGAGACATGTGTGCTTGACTCTCCTGCTGTTCATCTGTAATGTTGCTCAGCCGTGCTTCTAGAGCAGGTAACACCTCTAAGAACTGAGCAGAGTCCGTAGGAATGGATAGTTCCACCTCGGCCTCCCCAGTAATTGTCAAAGAGCGAATTCCTCTCCAAAGTTTCTCCAGTGCATCCTTGGTTTGAAGTCCTGCTTTATGTTCCTCTTTACTGGCGTCCAGTGTCTCTCTCAATGACTCAAGCTCATTTTGCATCTGTGCTAAGTGATCTCTTTCACTCTTAGATTCTTCTTCCCTTGCTCTTTCTACTTCTTCAAGCTTCTCCTGAAGACGATGAAGCTCTTCCATGCGACTTGCAAGCTCCACCTCCAGCTTCTTTGTCATTTCCTCTTTCTGTTTCTCTGTGACTTCCAGACAGGCTTGCAAGTTGGCCAGCTCTGTCTCAAAGCTTGTCTGTCTCTCTTGCAATGTCTCCAGTCGTTCTCTCTTTTCAGCTGAAAGTTTTTCCCTCAGTTCATCCAACTCTGTGGTCTTTTTCATTAATTCAGCATTGAGAGCAATGATGTTCTGCTCTTTTTCACTTTCTGTTGTTTCTAATCTAGTTTCTAGAGATACTTTCATGTTGGCCACCTCTGCCTCAAAGCTAGTCTCTCTCTCTTTAAATTTCTCCAGAATTTGGTCATTCTCTCTTTCTTTAAATTCAAGCTTTGCTCTCATTTCATCCACATCCGCTGTCTTTTTCAGTAATTCAGTGTTGAGAGCACTAATGGTCTGGTCTCTTTCACTTTCTTGTGTTCCTAATCTAGCTTCTAGAGATACTTTCATGTTGGCCAGCTCTGCCTCAAAGCTAGTCTCTCTCTCTCTCAATTTCTCCAGCATTTCTTCCTTTTCACTTTGCTCAGATTCAAGTTTTGTTCTTATTTCATCTAACTCTGTGGTCCTTTTCAGTAATTCAGCGTTGAGATGGGTAACGTTGAAATTGAGTACACTGATGCTGTGCTCTCTCTCACTCTCTGATGTCTCCAATCTGGCTTCTAGACATACTTTCATTTTGGCCAGTTCTGCCTCAAAGTCCGTTTCTCTTTCTTTCAATTTCTCCAGCGTTTCTTCTTTCTCTCTTTCTTCAGATTCAAGTTTAGTTCTCATTTCATCCATCTCTGTTATCTTTTTCTGTAATTCATCGTTGAGAGAATTGACGGTCTGGTCTCTTTCACTCTCTGAAGCCTCTAGTCTGGCTCTAAGAGCCTGGAGTTCTTCCTCAGCTCGCATGGTCCACTGCTGCCTCTCCTCTTCTCTCAGTCTCTGGGCTTCTGCCAACTCCAGCTCCATCTGCCTGAACTGAGCAGTCAGAATCTGTAGAAATTAAACATTCATCATGTTTGTAATCTTGCTTAAGGGTCAACAAATATTACAAACTGTGAAAGGAAATACTCCTATAATAGTTTTGAATGAACTGCTTCTTTAATCAGAGATTTTAGCCTAACCAGCTGAGACCACAGCATGCAACAAGAAATTCTGTTGGTTACTTGGATTCTATTTTTGATCACACAGCTGGGGTTTCCCGCAGTGAAATCAAACTGGTTCAAAATCACCAGCAGTACATACTGCCCTACAAAGGCTAAGTGCAGTAACTACGCAAACAAAGAAACGGAGAAAAAAGGCTTTTAAAGTTTTTATACCAGCCAGTCAAACATGTTATGGATAGATTAGTGGTAATGCATCTCCGAAACGGGACATAATTTAACCCAGATATTTTTTCACAAGACAGAACACATGTCATAAAGCCCATTAGAAGTCTTAACTCATTTTTGACCAAATGTGTAGTTACTGCGCTTTGCCTTTGTAGGGCAGCATAGTTGTATGTTGTTATGGGCAAATATCTCTAGTTTGACTGATGATTTGTAACATATTTCGCTTTCTGTAACGACAGTCAAATTTACAAGGCACAGTGTAAAATATATGTGTTAGGCTGACCTGTTTCTGCTGGTCTGCACTGTTGAGTTCCTGCTGCAACATTTCTAGGACTTCTGAACGAGAACGCAAGGACTCCTCCAACTCCTCTATGCGCTGCTGGGATGCACGAAGAGCCTGTAAAACAATAAACAGGATTAAAGCCCAACACAGAACGTGATATAGAGGTATAGATACTTGCTGCAGGGTTTGATTTATCAGACATGAACAAATATTTAAAAGATCAGTCTTAATCCGAGCTTGCTTTATTAACTCCGGTACAAAAATGTGAACAAAACATAACATGCCAAGAGTTGGATGCTGCTCACAGAATGTGAAACTAGACAGCTTAGATCAAAATTGCCATGGTAACATGATGAGCTATGACTTTAAGCTTTATAATAACACACAAATATGGTTACAACACCTCAGGCTATCCCAAAACAAAACAAAAAAGCTAACAAATATGAAAACAGCAAGACAATTATGTCCTTACATTGCTGCTCCTCTCTCTCTCTCTCTCTCTCTCTCTCTCTCTCTCTCTCTCTCTCTCTCTCTCTCTCTCTCTCTCTCTCTCTCTATATATATATATATATATATTAGGGCTGTCAAATGATTAATCACGATTAATCACATCCAAAATAAAAGTTTTTTTTACATAATATATGTGGGTGCACTGTGTATAATTATTTTGTATATATATAAATACACACACATGCATGTATATTTAAGAAAAAAATATTATTTATATATAAAATATTTATATTTATATATAATATAAATTATATATAAATCTATATACAGTATATACATGAAAATATTTCTTAAATATATACAAGCATGTGTGTGTATTTATATATATAAAATAATTATACACAGTGCACCCACATATATTGTGTAAAAAAAACTTTTATTTTGGATGTGATTAATCACGATTAATCATTTGACAGCCCTAATATATATATATATATATATATATATACATACACACATACAGTGCTGGTCAGAATTATTTGCCCCCTTGGTTAAATATGATCAAAGATGACTGTAAAAATGGAGGAATGGTCTCTGATCTCTTGTCCGGTGTTCTCCAAACTCATCAGGCATTATAGTAGAAGACTCAGAGCTGTTATCTTGGAAAAAGGAGGTTGCAAAAAGTATTTAATAAAAGGGGGCAAATAATTGTTCCCAACGTGTTTTGGAGAAAAACATTTATTTTCCCTCCACTTTCAATTCTTTTACTTCAATAAAAGGTTAGATTTTTGCTTTTTTTTTTGCAAGGATTAACAACGCAGATTTATTTTTTACAGCCATCTTTGATCATATTTACCAAGGGGGCAAATATATATATATATATATATATATATATATATATATATATATACACACTGATTATCTACTGATCAAATAAACAACAAACGTTTGGAAAGCAATATAGATTACGTTAAATCCTTTATCATACACTTCTCTAAATAGACCCTAAAAACCGATTTAAAAAAATAAAAAATAAGTGAGTTAAAGGAAGAACTTAACCTTTAGATCACCAACTTCACAAGGTCACAGCAAATATTATAATAACCACAGTAATATATATATATATAATATATAATCTTTATTGTTCTATTAATTTTCTATGTTTCTTGCTATTTTTTAAACCCTGTAACCAAAACATGGGACATGTCTTAATGAAGGTTATAACTAGTATAAATAGTGTGACAGCATTATTATTATAAAATAATAAAATAGAATTAGAAATGTATAAAATTAAGCAATAAATTAATCAACCAAAAAATAAACCATATTAGGGTAACAGGCTGTAAATGTATCCTAAATTAAAGGTAGGGAGAGGCTAGCAATAACAAGCTAGTTTTGAAAGCATGAGATCCCACCCTACCTTCAGAGCGCTCTCTAAAGATTTGCCTCCTTCAAAACAAATGAACGCACACAGCAGAGTTTGCAAAGCGCCACGAGACAAGAGACGGTGTTAAATTACCTCATGACTGTGTCTACAACGCGCTGATGACATGTGATGCCTGTGTGAGCAGGGTGTGAAGACGGAGGCATGGAAATACATACATGTTGACAGGCAGGTAGGACATCATATCATTGCATTCGGACCGAATGCAATGATTGGACGAACATTTTTTGGTCCTGAGGCTTCCACAGAAGATACATGTACATGTTTTAATATTTGTGATTGGTTGTGAAGAGAGTTTCAACCAGTATAACAAAAAGTGTTTATAAAACAAATTGCCTACCCTACCTTTAAGCTATACCTCAGTAGGAGCTAGCTAGTTTGGGACCTAATGTTGGTTTGTAGTTACTGATAAAGTTTTATTTCCTTTTATCATAACTTTGGTATGGTTGAGCTTGACGAATGCAGTCAACACTAAAATCTGTGTAGAGACTAAGAAAAAGAAATATCAAAGAAAATGGAATATGAAAGGGGACCTTATTTATGGAAAGTGCCAAAACATGAGAAATACCTGCTGTAAGTCTGGGTCATTTGAGGTCTGCGTGAGACTGAGGAGTTCTTGCTCATGTTTAAGGATTTGATCTTGAAATCGAACATCTTTTTCTTTCACCACAGCCTGCAGGATTCGCACCTGGACAACATTTAAAAATATTTAAAAAGTAGATCTAGTATTTAAGAGTGAAAGACTTAGATCAGACTATTAGAGAAATAAAACAGTACCTTCAAAAACATTTACCATCATATGACACATTTCAAGATTTTAACAAAATAAGTACCTCAGCTTAAAGACAAATGGTGCTTAAAGGAATAGTTTTGGGTGAAACACACCTGCTCTGCATGACCCTCCTCTCTCACACGCTGTTCAGCCTCCCAGAGCTGCTGTTGGAGCATCTTGTTGGATGACTCCGCCTGGCTGAGCTTTTCTTTCAGCTGCTGGAGTTCCTCCTCCACTCCTGGAGCCATTTGGAAAGAGCTCTCTGAATTCTGAATGAAAAAAATAATAATTATCATTATAATGCTGCAGGAAAAACTAATGAATTTGGCAAACACTGATTGTATTAAGATGAACAATAGTAAGCACCACAATCATAATCATATTGGAATATATTGTCACATTAAATAATATAAGTTGGTCATAATAATTAATCAGAATTAAAGTTGGTCATAATTAAATAATATAAATATGTCAACTTTACCTGACTGCTGTTCAATGCTTCTTGTCCTTTCAGCTCAGAGATCTGTTTGTTAAGGGAGGCCATCTTAGCTTTGGCTTGCAGTTTAAGTTTAGTAAACTTGACTTCTGCCTGTTCTTTCTCCTCCTGTATGAGGACAAAAAAAAAAAAAAAAACTTTAGACCTGTTAATATTCATGGTCTAATTAGTGCCACTTGTTTGTTCCTTTCTCATTATGCAAGCCCACACCTTGAACTGTTTTTCAGTGCTGTCGAGCAGACTGTCCTTCTCTCGAATCAGCTCCTTCAGCTGAACCACCAGCTGCTCTGTCTGGGCCAGCCTCTCCAGGACCTCTTCTGAGGGGCCCGGGCCCTCCACGGATGCTTCAGAATCAGGCTGGGGCTGAGGCACCAGCCCATCCTGCTCCAAAGACAACATTCGAAGTATAAAGCGGGTTCTCTAGATGGTTAATTACACTAAAGTAGGTGTGAAATGGACCTTTTTCAACAAATTGCATGTTGTAGATCTTACTGTGAACAGTTCATCCATGTATGCGTCGCCGTCTCATTTTTTCATTTTAACCTTGCGAAAAATCAAATGTCTGTCTCTAATTCTGTTTCAACACAACTTTAATAACAACTTGTCCTAAAGTCAACCTGATATCAAAATTGACAAATCTTTTTTTTACGGAATATTACAGTATTTATTATAAATGATTTATCCATGCACTTCGTTATTATTTTTTGATTCATGTGCCCTCATAATCTTTAATCAAAATAACTTCCCCTCTCTCTTGCAGCGACTTCTCTTCTCTGATGACGTGTTTACTGGCATGAGGGCGGGACAACCAGTCACTCACATGACATCACAGCAATAGCAAACCACAATATAAAGTCCCGCCCTGAATTTTTGCTTGTTCAAGAAGCCGTACAGCACAATAGGAAAGAAAAGACCATCACAACTTCCATTTCATGCCGACTTTAAATTAGCACTTCTCTTTTTCATCCACTTATGCTTGTCTTATCCTTAGTGGTCCATGCCACAACAGGATTTTGTGTACTCACCTGTAAGTCTCCATCGGAGCGTTCCTCACCCGAGAGCTCCTGGAGGACCGAGGACACCCCTTGGGTCAGCCGGCTTAACATGGCTGATCTGCAAGTAAAGATATGTAATGAAATGTTAGTTCACAGCTCAAGTATTTTCTATCAAGCTCTTTACTGAGTGAATTACTGAAACTGTTTTCAGCACGTTTCGCAATATAAGTAAAGACAAAGCCAGAATCAGATAACGACCGATAGACTTTCAATTAATTATTGATTAATTTATTTATAGGGACATTTAGCTCTCTAGATCCCATATGAGCCAACAACTAGCAATGACAGTTTGGCATTATTCATTTATAACACGCTTCTCTGTTGCATTACATCACATTAATAAATCAAATCCATATAAGTTAGTGAACAAAGTAAACATTACAGTTTGTTTAGTCTATGTATTTATGTTCAGTTGTATTTCTCATAGATTTTGATTGGACACAGACTGAGCACATCCATAGACTGTAAAAAAAAAAAAAAAAACACACACACATCACACGCATAACTCAAAATACATAATGAATCACTAACGTTAGAGCACTTGATGAGCTCAAATCAGGATCCTTTAATGGTTACGCAATGTGTGTCCACTGTACTGACAGTAACCAAAGGAGGCGTGAACGGAATAACAACATTGTGTCTAATCTTTCCTGGTAACGTAATAATTAACCACCTTTGGCAGAGCCATATAGCGGAGAAAAACGAAGAGAACCGAAAAACGCCGAATCAAATATAACTGACTGCGGCTGCGTCGCTTTCATTTTGTCTACACAACAGCAAAGATTATTGAGCGACTCTTCTTCCTTGTATTTCGAAACCGATTGATATCAGCACAAATGTTCGAGACACATAAAGGTATGACTTTTATGTTTCATAATGGTTATAAAACGGTATTGTTAAAGCCCAATGAGCGGCAGTAATGAGCGCAAGCTTTAAGTGAGCTCGTGCTGATGACTCGTAAACAACTGTAACGATATTTATAAATGTACTTGTGTTTGTGCCTGTCAGCGGATGAAAACGTTTAGATGCAGCTTGTTAATGTTATTAAGCATGAAACTAACCTGTGTAATCGGCGCAGGGAAGAGCTGCGTGGTTTATTTGATCAATTTCGTCTCCAGGATTTCAGAGCCACATCACCAAACATCCCGGAAACAGAAACCCAGCGCTGTGATTGGACCACGCATGGGAGTGTCTGAAAACAAGAAGTCACTCTGTGAGCCGCATAACTGTACGCCAAGGGAACGTCAACAAATATAAAACATAGAATCACAATTTAAGTAGACATGGTTTCCAAAAGATAATAGGACCAAATTACAAATATTAGTTTAGTTTTGGAGTTACATTATGGTTCAAAACAGAATGGGAGGACATGATTTAAAACTTAACATGATTATTAATTACGTAAAACAATTAGGACGCAGTCTCCTTCTGTTGGCACACTACGCCACAGTGTTTGTAAGCTTTGTATCTCGTTCTGTGAACTTTTTTGTGGAAGTGATCAAGTGGACGTCGATGATTGCCAGATGCACAGTTGGGGTCTTTGAATCCATTCATAGGAGCCTACATTGGTTGACCAGAAGACGCAGTGGTAGGACGTCCATAGAAATGCTCTCCAGCAGCGACACCAAGTCGGACTGATGAAGGACATTGTTATGAACTCAAAAGGAGAACAATATCATGACATGAAAATACTTCATGAAGAAACAGATTTGACATGGATCTTATGGAGTTATCGACTCCAAGGAGAACAATATCATTGCATCAGTGCATGCAGAAGTTTGTGTTTCTCTACTACTCTCTGACTTGTACGTTTCAAGTCTGAAGTTTCTGTTCACTTCAAAGGGCTCACTCAAAGCAAAGAGGTTGAGTGGTTGAGGGAGAGTCCACCACTGTATTATAACCACACCTGATAGACTGAAGACTAAACTCAACACCTGTTTTTCAAGTCTAGACCAGTATTTTCCTGGAAGAAAATACAATGCAAACATTTAGATAAGTACATCCTAACTCGTTTAGCCTCACAGTTAATACTAAACAGTGTTGTTTTTCCCCCATCAAGGTCTTTATAAATCATCCACTGAATGCTGTTTAGCAGTGAGGGAGACAAATCATTTCTATTAGCACATGTGTCCGATTGGACATTATATGGTTTGAGCAAGTGTATGTTACGTAAAAGAATAATCGTAAATATTCATAGTAAATCCTGAAACAAGTGGGATTTGTATCATCGGTAGCAGAGAAAACTCAGATTTTTGTGGGATAAGTTATTCAGCTATATGATGTTTTAATGGGTTACATTCACATTTCAGGAGTTCTCAGAAGCGAGCAGTGCTATTTTAGTATCATTGATATACTATTATAGTTTTTGTTAATATTTTACATTATATAGCCTATATATAATTTTCAATTTTAGTTAACCCTGAGCGGAAGTTGTCATAGTTTGAGAAACTTCTGGACAGTGCTGGGTAGATTACTAACAAATTGTAGTCTGTTGCTGATTCCAAATTACATTACAAAAATGTATTTTAGGTAATGTATTCTGATTACATTTGACCTAACTCGTTTATAACATTGATTTGAATAGATAATCTTGTACCATATTGATACAAAAAGAGAAAGAAAATATATTCCATTCTCTATCCACAACATGAAGTGCATTAAACATTACATGTGTGCAATTCCACAAACCTGGAAGACCTTCTTAACATATACAAGCAGTAGACTTTTATAGAAAGGAAAATTAAAAATATAACAAACTAGTAGAATCAATTAATTGAATAATTTACTGCCATTGTGAGAATAACATGTAATAATGTAATCAATAAACTGATTACGAGTATTTTAAAATGTAATATAATCTAATTACAAGTACTTTTTCTTCTTTTTTTTTATTACGTAACCCATATCACATAATCAGTTACTACCCTGGCCAGCACTGCTACTGGAGAATGGGAGACTAGACAATACTACTAACCACACAAAATAACAATATTGACTGTTAAAGTTTCCCTGTAACGAATCATATTTTTGAAAATATCAGATCTAGCAAGCTTTACATAGTTTGAGCTTGAGAAGAGAGAAAATTTGGGATCTCTGGGATCTCTAAATGTATTTTTAGGCTTAATGTCTTGAGATCTCATTCCTGTTATAGACTATGAATTTTTAAATGGCATCAACTACTAATATTATTGTTGAATATATACGGACCAATATAATATGGATATGGTGTGTCTAATGTCACAATCAAATGCTAACAAACTGAAAAATGTATTTCATGTGAAGAATGTTGAGGCTCCATTAATTTTTGGCACTATACTATTTCTATATATTTTATTTTGGCACTATAATGTTCTCAAATGTATTCTTTGGAATCTTTAGCAAGACTATGAATGTCAGTATGTAATTATTGTAAAGGTTTTGTCATGGTTGATTAAATGAAAAAATCGACTGAAGCTTGTTACCATGGCAGTGTGATGCCTCAAAATTGTAACATGGCTATTAATGTGGATTTATATGAATATATCATCATTTGACGATATCATTGACAATAAATTTGGAAACAACTTGCATAAGACACTTTCACGTCAGTTGTCTTTTCATTAGAAGTCCAGAAATGCTGATGCAGTTGCATCTGTTCACAGGCCGTCACATGGGAACGTTTGTCAGCATGTCCCCAATCTCACATGCAATTACCAATGGTCATCCCAGCCATGGTCATCCTTAAGCCTCACATACACAGTGAGCTGGATTAGTCAAAGTTAATATCAATAAGATGGAGTTGGTGGGGTGTGTCTGATCCCAGGCTGGTACAAAAGCCTCCTGAGGGTGCCCACCTCTTTCTTAGGTCCCAGTGTCGTGTGTCTGTGAGAAGCGAAACGCTCGCCTGCACAGCAGACCAGTTGGGCGTTCTGCAGAGTAGCTCCAGTCCAGCTCTCCACAATAATCCGTTCTCAGTTTAGCGATGGGGAATACAACGGGCAGCACCGTGGACGACCTGCAGGCCGTTGAAATGCATCTGTGGTATAAGAAGTTCATGACCGAGTGTCCATCTGGTCAGCTCACGCTGCATGAGTTCAAACAGTTCTTCGGGCTCAGAGGTCTGGATCCAGAGGCCAATGCCTACATCGAGCAGATGTTCCGCACGTTTGACATGAACAAGGTGAGTGAAAGACAAGAAAACAAGATATAAAGTAACAGAGTGGATAGTAAAATTGGTGACGGATGCCTTTGAAAACTTTCTGCCAAGACAGCTTCAGCACAGCTGCAGTATTTGAAGTATCTGTTTTTATTAAAAGGTTGGCTATAATATGCAGGTTTTGAGGTTCATTGCATTCTGTTACATCAGACAGATCAGAAACTATGTTTGCTAAGATCATGCCAGATAGATTTCTGCTGATTCCCATCTTTTTTTCAGGAGAAATTATTCAAATTTCTTTCAATAGCAGTCAGAACAGTGTGTGTGTGTGTGTATATATATATATATATATATATATATATATATATCACACAAACTACCGTTCAAAAGTTAGATTTTTTTTCAGCGAGATGCATAACATTTATAAAAATTTACAGTAAAGACATTTGCATTGTTACATTGTTCTATTTCAAATAAATGCTGTTGAACTTTCTATTCATCAAAGAATCCAGAAAAAAATATATCACGGTTTCCACACAAATATTAAGCAGCATAACTGTTTTCAACATTGATAATAATAATGCAAAATGTTTCTGGAGCAACAAATCAGCATATTATGATTTTTTGAAGGGTCATGTGACACTGAAGACTGGAGTAATGATGCTGAAAATTCAGCTTTGCCATCAAGAATAAACTACATTTAAAAACATATTAACATAAAAACCTTTTTTATATTTATTGCAATATATTTCACAATATTACTGTTCATTATATTTTTATTACCACATAAATGCATTCTTGGTGAGTATATAAGACATTTTTCAAAAACATATAAAACCTTTTGAATGGTAGTATGTGTGTGTGTATATATATATATATATATATATATATATAAATAATCAATCACTGTCCAGAAAGTCAGCACACGTGAGTTTGCTATTTGTTGAGTCAGATCAGAGCAAAGCTCGGATCATATACTGTGTTGTCTGGATCTATATTTATAGCGCTATATTTGGCACCTCATGTCGTGCCATATTAATACAATGAATAATGAGCTTATCTATGAGATTAACATTTGGATTTGAGATTGTATTATAGAATTCGATCCCATTCACGTGCCGTAACAACTAGTTTTCTCCAGGTCAAAACTTGTTTTCAGTTGGGTGCCAATGGGATTTTTGGCACTAAAACGGTTTTAAGCCTCATGATATTGCTTTTCATATCTTGATATGAGCATGTTATACAAGATTCCCAAGATACCAAGATACAGCTTAATTATGGTATTTAATGAGTATGCCATTAAATGTGTGTTTATGTCAATACGCATCAAGCTAAATCTCTGCCCTTCACTGTACGATTGTGCCTCCCTCGTCGCTCGGAGAGAAATCAATAATAGATCAACCAAAAGACAAATTAAAAATTAATGGTAATGACAAAATACACAAAAAAAACCCTTTAATTTTATCTTTATTCTCTATCATAAACTGTTAAAGTGTATGCTGTTATGTTCGATGATGGTCATTTTAATTAACTTCTAATTCTTTAAATATTAAATTATTTTTATCCAATTATCCATGATTACACATTTCATACTTGATTGTATAATAATTGATCAATTGCTGATATTTGAGTGGCACAAATTGCAGATAATTGAGTGCCTGCATTATAGTTTCCTGATATTTATTTTATAATAGAAATATTCTACAGAAATTATATCTAGGAAATTAAATACATTTGGTAATACTTTAAAATAAGGTCTTATTTGTTATCACTAGTTAATGTATTAACTAACATGAAATAACAGCAATACATTTGTAACTGTATTTATTAATCTTTGTTAATGTTAGTTAATTAAAACCCAGTTGTTCATTGATTGTTCATGTTAGTTCACAGTGCATTAACTAATGTTAACAAATAAAACATTAGATTTTAATAATGTATTAGTAAATGTTAAAATTAACATAAAGATTAATAAATGTTGTAGAATTAGAGTTAATTCTTAGCTCATGTTATCTAAAGAAGTTAACTAATGAAACCTTATTGAAAAAAATGTTTATAGACTACAAATGCCAGTTAAAGCATGTCTATTCAACAAGCAGAATAAAATATCCACATATCTCCACATTAACAAACCTCAAGTCCTACATTGCCCATGACCTTCTCCCTAACACTGCCCTAGACAGTTGTGCCACAAAGAGAGGTGACATTTTGAGGAAAGTGTGTTGACCTGAGGATTATGTCTGCGACAAGTGGCTGTGTCCGTCTCTCAGCCGCAGACCTTGGAATAGGCAGTAATCCTCCAGAGGGCACCCTCATCATCCTAATCGTGATCCTCATCACCTCCATCATCTAAATATGTGCAAGCATACGAGAAGAGAACAAAGGGTATCCAGCTGCTTTAGGATTCATTAAAGATTAATGTGGGAACACATGCATATTAAAAACATTTTATAACTTACTTTATAAAACGGATAGGTCCAGATGTGGATCCTGATTGGTGGATAGATCTCAAAAGTCTTCCCAGCCCCCGGTTTCACAGACAAGGCTTAAGCTAGTCCCACTAAAATGCATATCTGGCATATCTTAAAATATGTCAATGCCATTGTTTTGTCTCAAGATGCTGAACAGTAATGTTTTCTTATCTAAGACCTGTTTATAAAAGCTACTTAAAAGCCCCAATTGAACTACAGCCTAATCCTGGCTTAATCTAAGCCCTGTCTGTGAAACCAGGCCTTAATGTACTTTATCAATTTCCTGCATAGCTATTTAACATAATCCTTCAATAAAGCTATGAAGCAAACCAACCAGATCAGACATTATACACAGTATATTTAAAGAGTATTACGTCATTCACAACGTAGCATGCACTCAAAAATATGTAGCCCTATATTTAAGATGTATTTGAATTGCATTTAAAATTTCCATCCATTTGGATTACAGTTTTAACATAAATGAATAAACTTAATGTAATGCACAATTGTCAGAGCATACATATATAAAATTGTTAAGATTTCTGCAATCAAAAAATCATGGCATAGTTTAACTATTTCCATAAAAAATGTTAAATAATAATTTCAAAATGCATTTATTCAAATTGTTAGAATCTGCTGTGGAACAAGCAATATTCAATTAGTTTAAAAAAATCTATTTATTAATGTATAAGTATTTAAAGCACCGTCAGTTAGTTATTAGTACAGAAATCTTACCTGTTTCATATTAGCAAATTTAGTTTATTAGTATGCCAAATGGATGGAATTATAAATGATATTATATTTGCAATTCAAGTACAATCTTACATTTAGGCCTATTTTTTTTCTTGAGTGCGGTGTGGTCTCAACCGTGCTTGAAATGTTCTTAAAGAATTTGATCTTTTGCAGGATGGTTATATAGACTTCATTGAGTATGTGGCTGCTCTCAGTCTTGTAATGAGAGGAAAGATGGAGCACAAACTGCGCTGGTATTTCAGACTTTATGATGTTGACGGCAACGGCTGCATAGACAGACACGAGCTCCTGAATATCATAAAGGTAGGAACGATAATATTAGTAAAACTGCACTAGACAGCTATGAAAATAAAAATGAAAGTACTCTTCATAAAAATGGTTTCTTTTACGTTAGGCCATACGCGCCATCAATGGAAGTGAGTCACAGGAAGTGAGCGCTGAGGACTTCACAAACAGTGTGTTTGATCGGATCGACGTCAATGGAGATGGTGAGTGCAGTGAACTCTCACACTGAAATGATACGCTTCCAATATTAAGAGAGAAATTCAGTCTTTAAAAGGGCATGATTGTGAACTTTTCTCCATTCACCAGGGGAGCTTTCACTGGAGGAGTTTGTAGCAGGGGCACGCAGTGATGAAGACTTTATGGAGGTGATGATGAAGAGTTTAGACCTCTCGCACATAGTGGCCATGATCCATAACCGGAGACACAGCGTGTAAGAGACTGTCCACATTCATATATGTCATGTACAGTCTCTTGATCAGAAAACAAGAGCAACCTTCACTTATCAAACTTCACCTCCACTGTCTAATTCTAAAAACACAATCATTTCAAACAAAGACTGAGTTAAAGGGCCAAGAGATTAAATTGGTGTGGGACGTCCCACATCTAATATACTGACTGTTTCCCCAAAAAACAGCCTTCTCGCTAGAAAGTGGCTTCATGGGAAAAGAATCAGTATGAAGTGGATGTCCATTTAGAGCTTTATTTTCTTATTACTTTATTATTAGCAAAAAAAGAGAAGACTTTTTAAATATATATATATATATATAGTTATTGTATTAGATGCCTCAGAGAAAGACATATATAAATATTTGAATAATAAGTGGTAGTTGACAAATACATTCATTCAAAAGTTTGTTGTCGGTAAGATTTCGTGGGCCTGACGTCTTTGAAAGGAGTCTCTTATGCTCACGAAGGACACTTTTATTTATTTATTGTGGAAACTGATGAATTGTTTTCCCAATTGTTTTGAGAAAGTTCAAAAGAACAGCATTTATTAGAAACCGAAATCTTTTGCAACTATGTAAATGTCACCGTCTTCAAATTTGATCAACTTAGTGTCCTTGCTCAATAAAATGATACATTCCAAAAATCTTACTGACCCCGATCTTTTGAACAAAAATGTATGTCCACTTTTAAGTTAATTTTTTTTATGAATGTTCAAGGGAAGGTGTATATTTTTGGTATTGTAAAGGGTCACCGTTTTTAATAATTTGATATTTTTTGCCATTTTAAAAGTATTTTAGAGCATTTTAAATGTGATTTAGTGTCTCAGTTAATAAAAGGTCAAGAATAAATGACCTCATATTATTTGAATATTAAAGAAAACGTTGATTAAAATAGATCTAGATGAAGTATTACGCTGCGTGTCAAACTCTGTCATGTCAGGAATGTTTACTTTTTTTAAAGATACGTGCAGACTATATTTAAAGCTTCCATATTTTAGTTTCTGCAGTGTATAAGAATGGACATGGCTTCTTCTGCATTGGTGAAGGTGCCTTCTGTTGTAGGACTAGGACCTACCATAAGCTTGTTAATGTACTGCTTGTGCTTCCATTTGTACATTAAAGACATAATAACTGACACATGAGGTGCAAGTTCATGCATGAATTAGTCAACTGCTGACACCAAAATGTCCCTTTGCCCTTTGTGTCTTAAGCCCCCGTCTTCTATCCAGACTACACCAGCTTGTGAAAACACATGAGTCACATTTGGAGCCTTTTTAAACCGTGGACCCTCAGTTTCTATGACAACCGCAATCTATTACCATAGAGACCTGTGAGTCAGACGCAGCATCAGCTACCTCTCAAATTAAAGCTGAATTAACAGACCACAATACTAAAAGCCTAGTTTTCAATCAATCACTTACACTTCCACTGCACCCACAGTTCCTTTCTCCCAGATCCTCACTTGGTCGTCATTCTGGGTTGTTTGTCTACGTCAGAGAGGGTGATTGGTATTCATGCCAGCTTTGCCATCTTGTTGCAAAAGGATAAGGAGGACAGTCCTCTGAGCTGAGTTACCCTTCTATAAAGGATCCAAATAACACAAGACATATTTGTAATATAGATGCATCGATCATTTAAACGTGGTTGAAGGGTTGTGTGCGACTGTGGTAGTACCATGAATCCTGGGAGAGATGTTATGCCAGTCTCCATGATGTAAAAACATCGCATGAACATCAGCAGATGGGAATAAAGCCTGATACATATAAATGAATTATTATTTGGTACAATCAATTAGTAGTAGAGCCTGTACCTGCCATTAGAGCACATAAAAGGGCACTTGCTTTTTGAAAAACACACATTATGTACCAAACCACCTTAATATTACCAGTAATATTTAAAAAAAAAAAAAATCAAATAACATTAGCAATGACGCATTAAATTGATCAAATGTGACAATACAGACATTTATAATGTTACAAAAGATCTCCTTTTAAAATAAATGTTTTTTTTAACTGCAGTAATTACACATGAATTACATTTTAAATGATATCATTTCTCAATATTATTGGCTGTACAGTTTTTGATTTTAAAAAAATGCAGCCTTGGAGAGCATAACTTAAAACAAAAATGTTTTAAAAAACGTACCGACCCAAACTTTTGAACGATAGTGTATGAAAAGTAAATTGGACCCATATTACCGGTATAACAAAATATACAGTTTTTATTAGAACAATTTTAACTTGTGTCACATAATAACACACCAAACCCATCAAATTTCCTCTGGAGGGATGAGTCTCTTCTTTAAACTGAGTATTTTCTGGTTGGACTAATGAATGCAGGAAGTTCCTGTAACATCATTTATTCATCCTGCAGTCCATTCAAGTAATCCCAAGTGATTTTGCCTGATCAGATGCCTGCTTCATATCCACTGCAGCAGGCTCACAGGAAGTCATACAGATACCTCACCACATCGAAGCTTACAGTTCTAGGATGAAGAAAACACAAATAGTCAAAAAGCTAACACAAAAACAAACTATTAGATGTGCAGCTAAAGGTTAGTAAACCAAATCAAAGACCCCATTTACACCTGGAATTAACATCCATTTTAGGAAATAAGATGGCCAGAAGAACCAAATACAAGTGCAGTTTTGTGAAGGGTCAACATGGAGTAACACATTGACATAGTCAGTGATGCAGTCACAAAATAAGACATCCTCCACTCGAAATCTGATCACAGAGGTGGATGTTACAATCCAAGGTCAAAAGGTCTAACCATCTCACACTGACACACCTGGAGATTGCAAGAATGAAGTCCAGAGAAACGGCACATTTGTATTTGGGTGAGTCCAGCTGGTCATCATGCCCCACCTGAGAGAGAAGCTGCAGAGTAACTAGAGACGAAATCTGTAAAACAGAAAACAAACAACTGTATTTCTATATAGTATCATGACTTTATATATTATCTTTGAATGATAATGTTTATTTAACAAAATGTCATAATGTTTTACTGAAGTTCAAGTTCGGGTTATTCAGCTTTCTGGGCCGCCAAAAACCTTGAAGATCAATTTGTGTCCCATAGGAAAATTATCAGAATGCAAATGTTGTCATTGCATGAGTCACACCGGCAGTTAACCTTGAAAATCAGCACTTTTTTTAAACTACACAAGCACTTACAAAAGAGCAATATCTAACCTATGAAAGATTTTACAACACAAAAGAAATAAATACAGAAAATTTGAAATCACAATTTTAAAATGGATAAACCTGATATTTTTCATGATTGTAGGAGCCCTACATACAGCCATGCTGTTCATCTATAAGAGCAAACTAACATAGTTTTGAGAAAATAAATGCTTTATGAAAATAAAGAAAGATGAAACACTGCCTCCCAGTGTCCAACATGATTCCAAGACTTGCTTTTGCTGTAACTTTGCATATAACTGCCTTATTGTCTTGCCTGAGCTAATTGACATGAATGGCATAGCTTGTTATTATCTGAAACCCAATTATTTGCCAAACCTTATGATTTGCTCAATGAAATTACCTGTGAGAAGACACTGGCTGTAGGTGCAACTCTGCTATCAACCACACTGTAGAATATGGCCAACAGTCTGTCAAGAGGAAAAGGCTTCGGTCCCAACAGATGGTTACTAGTCTGTAGCAAAAAGACAAAATCAGAGAGAAAAAAGACAGGTGACATTAATAAACCTGCAGAAAAAAGAATAGTCATCATGAACAATAAACAACAGGAGAAACACCTCACCTTCTCATGTTTCTTCAGGAAATTAGTCTTTCTTATTTTCCCGTGACTCTAAAGGAAGGGAAAGAAAAGCTTTTCTTTAGTGATCAGATGATTCATGAATGTGCAATCATGATTCAGTAAGATCTCCTTTGGACTGAAAAGTCATGTTTCGGTAATAAAGAGGGGATCAGAAAGCTGTAATAAACCTTGAGGAAGAAGCGTCGATCTGTGCGGGCAGGGTTAAAGGATGCCAGGTACGCAGCAATCAGCAGAAACTTGGAGTAATACGGCAGCTCTATGTGAGCGTGTGCTGATAAACCTACAGGAGGAGAAAGAGTCTTCTCATTGGCTGATATCAGCAAAGGGAATTGATTTAGATTGGTCAAAAGGATACAGATTAATAAATCAAGAGCAGTCTAAAATTGACTGACTAAGCAAATTCCATTTGCTATTTACAAACATTTTTTACAAATTAAGAAATGAGTACTTAGTATACATTTACAAACTGAACGTAATGTTTTTGGACACTTAATTTCATGTTATTTAGAATTGGATGAAAACGTATTAAAGGCAAAATATGCAATTTTAGTCGCTGGAGGTCGCTTATTCAAAACAAAGGTGTAGCTTGGTGACGCCGTGATTTCGCGGAAGTTGTTGTCTTGACCTCTACAGCCGGTGGAAGAGAATCCTCATGGCATGAGCATTGAGAAATAATGCTCATGGATGAGCTAATGTATTAAAGATTTATTAACTCTACTGTAGTATGAGCAGGGTGGGGCTGAAAGCCGTTGGAGCGGAACGAGGCCACTGGAGCGTTTGCTAATGAGAGACAAGCACGACACACAACTCGAGAGCAGTGGAGCTTTTATTATGCCACAGACGACCGCTTCATCCGGTAATGCGTATGTGGGGTGGCACAGTGCTGTTTTATCATATTATTATTGAGTGTGTTGAAAGTTTGAATGCTACTCTGTGCGTTCGCTACTATGCGGCTACTTTAAAACACTTGCGGCTACTTTAAAACATGGTACTCGCGGTAAATCAAGGAAACGAGATTCAAACATTAAGACTAACTATGTTGAGCTATATAACAATGATTAGTTTTCTGTCAATGAATGCGTCCAAACAGTTGCTCACCTGTCTTATAAAACACACAATACATTAAAGCGTCTTTGGTGTTTCCATGGTTTCTGCAAAATAAAACCAGAAATCGAGGGTAACGCGGGTATGATGTCATTGATAGGCGACACATGGACACAGTCCGTGTCCTGGTTAAAATTGCTTATTTCTCTGGATTTAAACATTTGGTAAGCATAATGTAAGTACACAAGTCAACAAAATATATAACGTTGTTCTAGTGGTTTATTTGGATATTTGAATCCAAAAATCTTACATATTGTGCCTTTAATTGTTAAAAAATTTGTTAAATGCAATTAGCTGAACTTTAGAGTAGGACTTGAGTACATCTTTATATGTTATTTCATAATTACTTCTATTGTCTTTGAAATATGGTTACTGCCAATTGTACAGACTAAAATACACTTTAATGTCATTTCTATGGAAACTTTACTTTAAATGTAATAAAGAACTACACAAAAGTTCAAATTAAAATCATGTGCTTTAGTGTGTTTTAATCAACAGATTAAAATAGATGTACTTATTTAACCCTAAAAAGGGCAAGACCATAAAGTAACATCAGAAAATTAATGTATTGCTATTTTCCATCTTATTAGCAACACCACCAGATGGCCAGAGAATGCATCTTCTTAGGACACAAATTATACAATGTGATGATTTTTATTTTTTATTTTAATGTTTGTATCCCCTAGGACACGTCGCCCCTTTGGGGGTATAAATTCAGTGAAAAATAACGCTTGTTTAGCAATGTGTGTTGCAAAATTTTAGCCACATTTTTAAAAACGTTATTCTCTCATAACTTAAAGTAAACATTCTTTGTAAATTATGCTAAAAAATAAGTATAATCCCTATTGCAGTATGCATTATAAATGATTTATCCATGCACATCTTTTTTTTTTTTTACGTCATATTTAATCAAAATAACTTCCCCTCCCTCTTGCGGCTCATTTCTTCTCTTCTCTGATGATGTGTTTACGGGCACGAGGGCAGGACAACCTGTCACTCGCATGAGATCCACCAATAGCAAACCACAACCATCCAATCAATTACCGATAGACAAAATAATTTTTCCCGCAATTTCATGCTGTCTTTTACAAACCCACCACTACCAAAATCATGAAATGACTCATCAGGGCAGCCCATCAGCTAATGTGCTGTCAGAGGATAGATATAAGTAGAAATCTTGGCACTCTATCCTGAACCCAATTTTTTTGCAGCTCTGTACAACGCCAGCAGATGGTCTGAGAGGGCATGACTGTCTGAACATGTAGAGTGTGTGTGTGTCTGTCTGTGTACCTCTGAGCGTCGTGGCCTCCTTCTCGTCCATCTGCTGCTGCTCCCACTGCATGCTGAATGCAGTAAAGCCAAACACACAAACAGTCAGTGACTGATGACACGCAGCTCAAGCACAATCTCAACTGTGAGCACTCTTTAGAAATCACACAGCACTAACAGACCTGGACACCTCTCGGAGGTAAACCGTCTGCATGGCTCTGTGCAGATGGGGCTCAATGTTTTTCCATAACTTGTGAATATCACTCTCTTTGGCTGAAGGAAACAAAAAAGATGATTTCAAACTCTGTATACTGACACAAAAAGAAGTTTAATACGTTTAAAGGGACAGGTTAACCAAAATTTTAAATGAACAGTCAATCATTTCAGTTAACAACTTTTTGGTGTGTCCATCACACATAGTGGCATATGGCTTCAGAAGACGGATGGGCAACTTTACTGGTGCCTTTTTGTCATTTTTGAAGTTTAACAGGCCCAGTCCCCATGCACTTTCATTGTATAGAAATGAGCAGCTTTTTTAGACAAATTTTTGTTCAATAGTAAAGCAAAAATATGTGTTTAAATGGAAAAATGTTATTAAATATTTTACCTTCTCCTTTCTCCAAGGGTTCACAAAACTTTGAAAAATTCAGGACAGCCTGTTTAAATACAAATTATATTAAGTATATTAAGCTATTTAGCACTACTTAGTTTATTCTGTCTTTGTGAAGTGTGTGAAAGATGCAAAAACACTTTTCACTGGTTTATGAGCACCTGCTACATCATAAAAAACTGCTACAAAATAACTGCTACTGCTCCTTTTATAGACTCAGACAAATTAAAGACACGTATGATCTCACCAGGTGCCTGAGCTCCCTTAGATCCCTGCACACTGAGAAGAAGACCCCCAGCAGGATGTTTATGTAGGAAGCGTAGAGTTCAGGTGTGTAGGATGGGTGATGATCCCGAGACAGAATCTGCACAAGCTCCGCTGAGGGACCAGAAAAACAGGTTTTTAGAAACGTTTCATCCATCCATCCAAATATGAAGTATGTCATCGACCCTGTTTTCTAGGGAGCAAAAAAACCACTTTCGGTGTTCGTATGTGAAAAGACAGAATAAATTTTACCTAACAATGACATTTTTGACGCGATCAAATAGCAACCATCGTGTGTGAGAGGCGCACACGCTTTATAAATGCAGTAAACATGTCACAGTGTGGAAGCATTTTAAAGTGTCCGAGAATGACGTAAAAATGGCCATTTGCAGACACTGTTGTGCTGAATTGTCTAAGCACCCTCAAACGCAAGCAAGCGCACCCTAGGTTGATACTGTAATAGTATATTGGCGAAACAGATTTGGCAAACGCTCCAGTGCATATTTGTGTTTGTGCTCTGGAGAATGGGAAATGTACGTGCAAAAAACGTGTTTTTGCAGCGGTGAGCAGTGCAGCCAGTCACAAACATAATTGTTGATCTCTTGAACACAATGGTGTTAAAGTTAGTTAAATCCACTCACAGCTTAAAACGCCAGTTTTTATTCAGTGCTGAGTTATGCAGGCGCGCAAAACCTCTCATTAACAAACAAAGTGTAGACACGATGTAAGCAAGAGATTTACTGTGCATTGTTGGCAGCTTCATTGAACTTTGTGAGATTGCGATGAACTGACAAAGCGACAGCGTTTAGTGATTGCAAAAGGAGCGATCTTTGCTTTCGAGGCTACTACAGCCTATATAATCCATTGAGTAAAACTATTGTTTTTCATGCTGCCAATTGCATGCTGTAAAGTTTCGGAAGGGACTATGATCTACATAAATGCTGGATTCACTCTGCACGGGACAGAAATATGACATGTTAAAATAGTAATGCATTAAAGCATTGTAAAGCCAGACTAATAGATTTATAGAAAAATTGTATTTTTGAAATTCTAAATAATCTTAAATGTCTCACTGTACACTGCTATGGTGGAGCCGTTGCTTAGCCTACATCTGCACTTTACTAGAGCACCCACAGTGATTCAGAAGCACCCCTCAGTGATTTGATTCTGGCCTGTAGGCATAATAGGCCAAGAAGGGGGGGGCTCAAAGATGGCCAAATTTTTTGTTTAAGTTATATTGTGCTTTGTTGGTATAATGTCTGCTGGAATGTTAAAAAAAATGTCTGTTAAATAAATATTTTTTAATTGTATTTGTAATCGATTTTTCATTGAAAAGCATTTCATTTAATATATGCAATGGTGTAAAAAAATGGCAAAATAAATGGTGGAAAATTTCCAAGATCGTATTCGGTATTGTGTTTCATCATATTCGGTTTCGGCTTCAGCCAAGAATTTTCATTTCGCTTCATCCCTACTGTTTGCACATCGTCTCAGGTGAAAGTCTCTGATTTTGTGACTGTGATTGAAGCCTAAAAAAGCCAAAAACATGCACTTGCAATTTTAATCTCATCACAAATGTGACGTTTAAAGCGAAATAATCATTGTTATATAAAACCTGGGGCCATTGAAAAATCTGATCTTCATTCATATTTACATGAACACGCTGGTATCCTTGTGCAGTCATTATATAATAAAGAGAGCTCGTTATTACATAATCATCTGTCAATTGTTTCCTGTTCCCTCTTACCTTTACTGTAGTCTGGAAAATGAAAGAGCAAAGGTTCAAAGCAGCCAGTGTTGGGCCGAAACTTTTCCCACACAATTTCGCTGAGCAAGATAACAGTCACATTATCATTTACCTGCCACAAAGAGAAAAAAGGATGAATAGCCAGAAGTTTAGATATTCGCTATTGCACGATAAAGACTCCACAAAGAAGTCAGATGAAGAAATATGACAAAAAATGACACCTGTAATATATAAATGCAAAACACAACTCAACCTCTTATAACACATAACCCTCTAAAAGGCAGAGCTTGTAACTCTATTCTTACTACTGCAATAAACAATATTAAAATTGGGTGTATACCAGCTCCTGTAGGCGCAGAAGAGCAGGAAGCAGGCTGAAATCCATATCTCTCATGCGTTCGGCTCTGTCCAGAATCTACAGGGATATTATATAACCTTGAAGCATCATGACATGGCTACACATCAATGCACATCTTAAATAACAACTTAACCAACCTAAAAACAATGTGTTTATAGATCATTTCATTCAAATGTTAACGCTAAACAGACACTACTGACAAATCTGCAAACATAAACAAAAGCAATATACATTATGATGACAAATGAAATGAAAACTCACTATATAGCGTGTCTGTGTAGCAGGTGTGCTGGAGCTCATCTGTTTGTACAGTCGCACAAAATCTGACAAAGACGGGCACCGAGGGAGCAATGCTCCAGCATCTGGCCCGAAAAAGGCAGACAACACCTGGTGAAACAGCAGTCCTCCGGACACACACTCTACACAGTCCACTGAAGCATGGGGGAGCTGCACAAAAACACACACGCTTAATGTCTTTCACTTATTTCTCATTTAGTAAACACTTTTACTTACCTTGCAATACACTTAATATAGGAATAATCTTTAACCTGAATTCAAGCTGGAACCTTCCGTTAACAAACTCAGATTTTCAATCACTACTGCAATCACTTCCAAAGGCTGCAATACACTACACGACTTTTAAAATCTGAATAGACCTTTCCAAATTTTCACCATCTTACCTCCAGATCTTTCATGATGGTGAGCACCACATGACTCTTTCCTGTTGCTCTGTGGCCATAGATGAAGATTGAAGGATAACTGTATTGATCTGGCTGTTAAGAGACAGAGTAACAACAGCTCACATTAACTCTGTATGGTACACTAAAGTAAAATGATCCAAAATACTGCAAAAACAGTAATATTGTGAAATATTTTTTTTTACAATTTTAATATATTTTAAAATGTAATTTATTCCTGTGATGGCAAAGCTGAATTTTCAGCATCATTGCTCCAGTCGGTGTCACATGATCCTTCAGAAATCATTCTAATATGCTGATTTGCAGCTCAATACCATGTCTTCTTTTTATCACTTTCATAAACAGTACAAATTTTTTCAGGATTCTTTGATGAATGAAAAGTTCAAAAGAACAGCATTTATATGAAATAAAAATCTTTTATAAGATTATAATGTCTTTACTGTCACTTATGATCAATTTAATGAATCCTTGCTTAATAAAAGTATTAATTCCTTTAATTTCTTTCCTCCAAAATGTTAAATTCTTACTGACCCCAAAGTTTTGAATGACAGTGTATAATGTTACAAAAGCTTTCAATTTCAGATAAATGCTGTTCTTTTAAACTTTCTATTCATCAAATAACTGTTTTCAACATTGACAATAATCAAAAATGTTTCTTGAGCTGCAAATATCAAAAAAGAATATAGCCAGCCAAAATATATAACAGTTTTTAACACAGTAATAATATAATATATTATAATATTATATAATATAATATAGGCATTTCACTTTTTTATTGAGAACATTGTATAAACAAAGCAGTCACAAAACAGAAGAAATAAACTAGAGAAAAAAAGATATATATGTAAATATATATTAAGGGTTTAGATCAGAATAGATCACAATAGATCAGACTTGCATATTTCAATTGTTTTTAAAGCGTTTTGTTACATGGGTTAGAAACCGTACCAAAGCAATGCATAGAAAAGAGGTTTCTGACTTGCAATTTGAAAATTTACATTTATGTATATAAAATTTTAACAAAAAGAAGATACAGCATGTTTTGTTTTTCTGTAAATGCTCTTTTTTCCAATTAACAAATTTAATCAAAACATTTTCCCACAGTAAAGACAAATCTTTGTCAATGTTCTCAATAACAAATCGGGAAAAATCTTTCCACAATAATTCGAAATATTGGCAAAGCCAAAAAGAAATGCACTATAGTCTCTGTGTGCTTTTACAAAAAGAGCAGCTTGTATCAATCTCTTCACTCACCTGTCCCATGAGTGACAGCAGTGACGTCACCTGTGTCTCCCTGCAGGGCAGTCTGTCAGCCAGAGAGCGCAGTGTGTCCTCAGGGTAACCAGGACACTGCAGCGTCACAGACATCCTCTGGTTATAATAAAACATCTGTATTAGTATCTTAAACATATGCGGTAGTGTTTAGTATTTTAGAGGAGTGTGTTTGCGTGAAAAAAACAGAAACATTAACGTAAAGGGGCAGACCACACGGGTCTTTAAACTTGATCTTAAACGCGGCCCTAACGGCGAAAAACACCGAAAAGGACAGAGACTCGACGCACAGCCGTTCAGCTGATGCATATATATAAACCAATAATAACTAAAACTACAAGAACACATTCTGTGTGATAATATTTACACGTGTCCAATGTAGCAAAGCGTAAAAATACGACGCTTTCCAAAAGAAACTAGTCAAAACAAGCAAAATAAATACCTATTACTGGAGCAGATGTTTTAATGAGAAATTACTGATTTTATTTTTCAGTTTTCGAGACACAGAAATCCTTTGCTGCAGGATAAACTTCACATCAGTTTCCCCGCGCGGTTCACTAGTCGACGTCAAGAGTGTGCGTCACTTCCGGAAAGGGTGTGGGGTTTGTAGTTCTTAGCGTTTTTAATCTTAACGCTCTTGAATTATTTTTTTAAACGTTTAAAATCTAGAATCTATATACTCATCAGCGTCAAAGTCAAAACACAGGGTAGACATAATTTTGGGGAATTTATCGCCAGCTTCTCTTCTCTCTATCTGCTATGCGGACGGGAGAGTGACAGACAGACGCAGACTCTATTGGAATATTCGGGTGTGCCAGAAGAAATCTGCGCTGTTCGCTCGAGCCCTCTCCATCATCTCCGCGAGCGCGTCTCAATGAGATCTACACGCTCGGCATGAATCTCATCCCAGCGTTTATTCACTCACGCGACATCACTGTGGTCAGCTGTAATGTGTTTTATTGCTCTGAGATGTGCGCTCAGGATTAAATCGGATGGAGCAGTCAGTGGTACGCCGTTAAGCCAGTAACCGAGAGGAAAGCGATATTTGCGTATTGCAACTGCCTGTGCGTGTAAATCTGAGAAGAATGGACACGCAAAATATGATGCAGTGTCTATTTGTCGTCATCTGAACATCCGTTATTTCTCTTAAACGCAACAGCACAGCAAGATTTATCACGGAAATCCGCTTCATATCTTGTAATAGCCTCATGGAAACATCAATTTGGACTGTGTAAGGTAGAGATATATTGTTTGTATAAATACATATTTTAGTATGTAAATGTCTTCAAGATTGTAATATTGTTCGCAAACCATCTAAGTATTATTAATTTATTCGGGTCATCATTAAGTATTCATACTGACATTTGCGTTGGGAATAATATCTCTGATGCACTAGAATGCGTCTTTTTCATATGAGCTGTGTCTTAATATGAGTTTAGTCATTATTTTTTGCCGTCCCAATTGTGATTATTCACCTTAATGAGATCTTTTGGCTGAATGATGCAGATGCATAGAGACTGAATGAGAGGAGAGCTGGAAAAGAACATCATTGGAGTCACGGACAGACTGCCACATCCACGCTGAACGAATCACTGTGGCATCTGGCACCAAAACTGCTTAGTCTGTCGCGACATCTGTGAGCTGTTCTGTCTGTACTTGAGTTTAGGTGGCACCCCAAGCAACGTCTAAAGAGGACTGAGTCCGGATTGAATCCATAAATGACCTGAATCTGGATTCATTCCGGAATCCAGACGCAATCCAGACAGGATCTGAATCCAGTCTCAATCCAGATAGAATCTGAATCCATAAAAGAACCAAATCTGGACTCAATCCAGATTGGAGCTGAATCCAGACTAAATCCGTAAAGGATCTGAGAGCAGTTCGAAACCACAGTGGATCTAAATCCAAATTGAATCCAGATAGAACCTAAATCTGGACTGAATCCAGATAGGAACTGAACCCAGTCTCAATCCAGAAAGGATTTATAAAACCTAAATCCAGACTGAATGTAGACAGGACCTTAATCCAGACTCAATCCAATCTAGGCCTAAATCCAAACTGAATCCAGATAAAACCTAAATCTAGATTCAATCCAGATTGGACCAGAATTCAGCCTCAGAACTGAATCCAGAATAAATACAGGGTGAACCTACTCCAGGTTGAATCCATAAAGTACTGAATAGGTAAAAAAAAAAAAAGTGAAATATTTTATGTGCGAGTTTTTTAAATTTGTGTCTTTATGGTTGCCAGATTTAGTCACAAACTCAACTAATCTCATAAGGCTAGCCTACAATTTTGTGCGTGGGAGATGTAGTCCCATCCAATGATCAATAATATAGGATAGGTAAAATAGATCAAATCAATTCCCATGAGATTTTTTTTATTATTATTTTGCTTTCTATTTACACACTTAATTACACAAAGAGGGGAATCGCACGGGATATACACCTGGCAACTAATCATCTAAACCGTCAGCCGAATTTTCCAATTCATCCTGAGCCTTTGAGGACGGGGCACTACCAGCAAGAACCAGCAAGGTGAGATGTAACATTTTATTCAATATCTTAAAGATGTGTATTTCTAAATATTTTCCCCCAAATGTGAATAGCCTACCCAGCAGGCACAGTACGTCAATGTGACGTCAGGAAGACGTTGCACTCCAACTAATCCAACGTCAGTCAGACGTCATATTTTGGTTGAAAATGAAAGTCAGGTTGATGTCTAAACCCAACGTTTGTTTGGCGTCAAGCTCCAACGTCAGACAGATGTTGAATTTTGGTTGGAATAAGCACCGCAAAAAAATGTGACATGCATGGCAGCACATTAAATCTGTGAAGATCTCAGCAGAGGAGGATTAAACAACTCCACAAACAGCATTACGTGCTTCACTTATTACTAACCAGACTGACTTTATTTAATTTCCGTTTTAATGAAATCAAGTTGTATTTTAAAGTCACCATGATGGTGGTTAGCGTTTGCTTTAGTTGGATTCTTGACCCATGACTTTTTAGTTTTAAATTTTCTCTGGCTACTATAATTGTGTGTTTATAAAGCACACTTGTTGTGGCAAAAAAAAGCAAAAAAGCAAATAAGATCAGGTGATGTTGGCTGTTTATTGATGATGAAGTCATCATCATGTAATTGCCTGAATCCCTGATCTTATTCATTGTCTAATGTTTTGATTATATAGAACTTTTTAATGTTGTGTTATAATAGATGCCATTTAATTTTACAGCATGAGAGCAATGTTTTTTATCAAATAATATAAAGGATTTTAAAAACATTTAGTGCATTAAACTTTTTCCTCTACATTATTACTTAGCCATCAATAATCAGTGTATGACTCTCAACAATGGTGCCAATCAATGAAATGCTTCATGCTGCAGTGCATGCTGGGTACCACCAATCAAAACTCACCATATCTCCCAGCATGCATTGCGGCATTAATAAATTATGCAGCTGGATTTTTTGTAGCTTGTTTTATGCTCAGAGTTGATCTGATTATCTGGATATTTTGTTTGATTGTCACCATTGTTGAGATTCATGCTGTTTCTTGATGTCTGTGTGCATCTAAGTAATGCCATAGATGAAAGATTTTTGTGCACTAAATAGTTATTAAAAACCAAGTGTATTATTTGACAAACAACATTGCTAGATATGCTGTAGAATCAAATGACTTCTATTATGAATAAAACAATATTAAAACCGGGGGGGTCCCGGACCCGGACCTCCAGTAAGCATCAAGGGACCCCCCCATAAGGCCCCAAAAAATGTTTGTCCCCTAGTTTTTCATTAATACTAAAATACTACAAACATACCGTAATATATGACGTAATATCTATTTTTGTTTTATCAAAGTACTGCGCTACCGCTCCCATAAGCTACTCCAAATTAGATTTGCGTCTGAAAATACGCTCAAGTGTGCCACACGCTGTTTTATGAAGGAATTTACAGACAGCGACGTCGCCGTGTGACTGCCCAACACGATCTCATGAAAGTGCGTATCTGCCATTTATACGCCAAAAATAGTTTTTGCGTGCAAATGATACGCACTGTAAACCCCTTGGGTAGGATTAGGGGTGTGGAGTGCATGCGTATTACACGCCACAAAGTGCGTATCATATGCACGTGAAAACTGCGGTCGTATACCGCGCTATGCACGCAAAAACTATTTTTGGTGTATAAATGGTAGCCTACGAGAAATAAAATTCATGCTACAGATTCGCGCTTTAATGAGAGTCTGGCTAAGTGGATCCTCATTTCACCTCACGATGACGGTAAGATAATATTTCTTTGTTTTATGATTATTTGGTAAACCTAATTTACTGATAGGCCTACTGAATAAGTGTTTATCTTAAGATAAACAGTTATTATAGCACACGTACATCACGTGCATATACATCACAGAGACGTCTATTTGATGTGCGTGTTTACATCTGGAAGACGTATTTTTTAGAGTGTTTTCTCATCTGCAACACGCCTATAGGACGTTTCCTGTCAGATGTCAAATAGACGTTTAGAAGATGTCTTTAAGAAGTAATGATTTAGAATGTATGTTCTTAAAGATGTCTATCAGATGTTAGTAAACAGCAGATGCTTTCCAGATCAAGTGATCTTTAACAGACATCTTGCAGACGTACGTGTGCTATATTACTATTATTATAAGCTTGGTCTGTAAATAACGTTAGTCTTTTTTTTTATCTTACAAGATGCTAGGTCACTATCGGACAGTTCTAATTAGCCATCTAACGTAATTCTTAGAAAAATAAAATCTCGATTGGAGCTAGCAACCCATTCTGAATTAAACAAACAATTTGAAATCTAGTAACCTTAACTAGGCTACTCACAATTTTTTCCCCAATCAAACTGATAAAAATATGACGACAAAAAAAGATCTTATTATAGGCTGTTCAGATGTGAATTTTCACAGACTGTGATGACGTATTTAACGGTCATCAGCATCATAATCGTATCAAATTCTCTCTATTTTTTAGGGGCCAATGTGGGTTGTTCTAAACAGCAGTGAATGAAGCAATGCTGCCACTCTCTTTCAAAGAAATGCTGTGCTCACCATCGTTTTTGTTCTGTTTATATTCTTATATTTGTCCGTGGGGGAATCTCCCAAGAGCTTTGACACATTTCGAACACTGTTCTAGCCAGTTAGCCAAATACTAGATATCACAAGGTTTACTGTTAATGTTAGTTAAGTTTTGAACAAAGTAATCGAAATGTTCTTGTTTCTGAACATTTGGGTGTAGGCCTACTCTCTTTAGTGTCTGATTACAATTCCTACAAAATCATGTGATGATAAATCCAGTTTGAACCACTTTAAAATGACCATATATATAGTGTATAGGCATATGTACCAACAAGCACAGCATACAGATGCCGATTGGCCTGATAGCTTGTATACACACATTTGCGCCTACTGTACATGTATTCACAGTCATCTTTAATGTAATTATGTGTTCATTTAAGTGTTAAATGCCCAAATATTTCAGACATAAAAGAACAATGTAATGATGTTCAATCGTTCACTTAATAGGCTATTATTATTGTGTTTTTTAAAATTCATTAACAGTTTATCAAGTAAAACAAATTACACTCAGTTTGTTTCATTATGCACTATATAGTAAGCTATGCATATTTAAAATGAATATCGTTTGTATGAACTATTAGCCTAATCATAGCTGATAGAGACACAATTTCAAGGGAGGACCCAGTTTGTCATTAGGGTCACGGGCTGGAGGACGGAGAAGTGAGGAAATAAGGAAGCATCAATATGGAAAAGCAATACCCATACTCAAGCCAAACCAATTTGGAAATGCATGAATAGCTTTTCTTTGCACAGCACAAAGCAGAATTTTAAAGATCAGATTGTATATTAGCCCTATAAATCAATTAAAGTGTCCGTGTAATTTCAAAACTGCTGTTTGCCTCGTAACCATTTCAGCAGAGCCATAACAGTGGCAGGATAGTGCAACGTAAAAACAGGGCCCTGAATCCACATGTTGCCATTCACCAATTATGACTGGCAGAATTATTAGATTTAGGTAAGACTTTTAAGTACTGATTCAGAAGAGGAAAGATTAGTCAGTGTAGTTAAAAAAAAGATATATCAAGAAACAAAAGTCTCATTTCAATATTTTATTTGCTTTTTAATGGTAAACACAAGTATTACATTTAAATGTAACGAGGAAGATTTTTACATTAATTGTATCAAGCAGGAAACTCAGAAAGTGGATGCATTGTGAAACGAATATCTCTGTAGGTCTATGCAGTGTTGAATATGTTTTTCATTTCTTTCAGTGTGTAGCTGTTCGACATTGCAGTGTGCTGATGAGTATCGCTCTTTCGGTTGATACAGAGGCAAGTACTATTGTTCATATACAATATTCTTCAATAGAATGTTCAGCTATCGAAGAAACGCATTAAAATTCATAAAATGAGCTTTAGTTTTGTAACATGGATCGAGAAGATCAGGATCTTAGAATTTAGTTTAAAGGGATAGTACACCCAAAAATGTACTCACCCTCACATAGTTTCATTCTCATTTAAAGGTATTAAGTTTTGGCACATCTCCTGGTTGAATGTATTGTGGTTCCATATACTGTAAATTAAATAAAAGCTGTTTGTCACACAGATGTCTATCAAGCTGTAGTGTAACTCAATTTTTGTGTTTTGTTCTCTATAGGCAGCAACAATCTGGGATCTGCATTGGCCCTGCCAAGTCTGGAGCGTGTTTTTACAGTTTAATGAATTCAAATTTAATAAAAGTTTTTAAACAGACTTCTGAGTGTTGTCGTAATTGACGTGACATCTAATAATCAGTAATATCACTGTGTGAAATATTTTTTGCATACAAGCCTTTATATTTCATTCTTTTTTTAAGCGTGTAACATATTGAAGTTAGTTATAATATGTTGTATATATATGTGAATATAAAAACTACCGTAATCAATTATACTGCATAGTAACTTTACAGTATTTTAAAATACAATGCAAAAACAAGAACAGTTATTATACAGTATGCTGTGAAGTACTGTAGTCATATTTACAGTAATTTTACCGTAGAAAAAAAATACAGAAGCTTGCTGGCTATTTGTTGATTTTATGTTCTTCTTTTTTTTTACAGTGCATCTATGATCCCTGGGACACCTGCAGCGATGCTCCCAGCCACGGAGGCAGCCAAGATCTACCAGACCAACTACGTCAGGAACTCTCGTGCCATCGGAGTCCTGTGGGCCATCTTCACCATCCTCTTCGCCATCGTCAACGTGGTATGTTTCGTTCAGCCCTACTGGATCGGGGACGGCATGGACACGCCACAGGCCGGCTACTTCGGCCTCTTTCACTACTGCATAGGAAGCGGAATGTCCCGGGACCTGACTTGCCAGGGGAGCTTCACAGAGTTTGGCTCCATCCCGTCTAGCGCCTTCAAAGCGGCGTCTTTCTTCATTGGCATGTCCATGGTGCTGGTCCTCTCCTGCATTGGCTGCTTCGCTCTCTTCTTCTTCTGCAGCACAGCCACCGTGTATAAGATCTGCGGATGGATGCAGCTGGCAGCAGGTGAGTGAGTGTGTTTGAGGTTTCCCAATGCCTACTGATGTACGAGGAGCCAGCAAGGCTGGAAGTTAAAAATACAATATGTGAAAGTGTACAAACATTCAATTGGCATATGTTCTAATATTTTTGCAGCTGGCATTTTCTAATATGTTTAGTAAGTTTGTTAGGCACCATGTAATAAAAAAACAACAACATCGTATTATCATTATCATGGTACTTCAGGCACTGCAAGGCGTAGTCCCGGACTGAAATGTGTGTTTGAGCTGTTTTAATTGAAAGCAACTTGCAGTTACTTACTGTATCTTAAAATAAGCCATTGTTTTGTCTCAAGCACACCAGTAATATTTTTTTCTAAGGCATGATTATTAAAGCTAGCCTACTTAAATGTCTTAATTGAACTAAGGCCTAATCCGTGTCTGTGAAACCAGGCCTTAACACTTAAGTTTATACTTTTAAGTAATACTTTTATTCAGCAAATAGGCATTAAATGATCAAATATTTATAATATTACAAAATATTTCTATTTCAAATGAATGCTCTTCTTTTGAACTTTCTATTCATCAAATAATCCAGATTTGTTTTATCACTGTTTCCACAAAAATATTAAGCAGCACATCTGTTTATTGATAATAATTAATTTTCGAGCAGCAAATCAGCAATTTCTGTAGGAGCATGCGAGTAATGATGCTGAAAATTCAGCTTTGCCATCACAGAAATAAATGACATTTTAAAATATAAAAAACGGGTGTTTAAAATTTTAATAATATTTCACAATGTTACGGTGTACTGTATTTTTGATCAAATAAATGCAGTCTTGCTAAGCATAAGAGACTTCTTTCAAAAACATACAAAACCGTTTTAACAGTAGTGTACATGTATTTTTAAATTCATTTTCAGTAGTCTCACTATAGTCTCCGACCTTTGGACCTTATTATAATCTTTTATACAGTACATATCATTTATAAACCCCATATAAACCAGCCATTTGGTACCCATGGTATATGTTTTAGATATACCTAATTCATTACATATTTTTATTTATTTATCTATGGATGTATGATTCTCTTCATTAAAATAAGACAAACATACTTCCGATGTCATTCTGTGGATGTGCAATTCCTCATCAAAGATTTCAAGCATTGTTAATCAAAAATACTGCGTAATGAAGCCTTGGTTTACACTGCCATCCGTCTGATAACTACTGAGTAGTCTTTTTGGTGCATTCCTCAAATGCTTGCAGAAAAGCTCTTCATAAATCTGACCCACTACCCATTCGAAGAATCCACAGTGGACGAGATTTTATATATAAATAAATAATGCGTACCACTTTGTTATCCTTAAATTAAACAGATGAGCATGATGATAAAAATGAGCTCAAGCACTGGATGTCTTTTTTTCTTCTGTGAAGGGAAAACAACTACAGATAGGCTTAGTCAGTTTATTTTCCCCCAGCTGACCAATGCTAAATGTCCTTAATATTTTTCATAGATGTTTTACAGCAAAGATGTAGTAGTTTCATGTTGTTTAATGGCCTCCGAGAGTTGGGTTTGGTTGTGTTGTGCTCTGAAAACTGGCATTTATAAGGAGTAATATATTAAATGAGCAGATGAGAGAGCTCAAGTTGTGTGAAGTGCGTCTGCACACATTGCTTTTATCTGAGGCTTTGGCTTCAAAGGTTTGCATGAGTAGAGTCAGCATTAAGAACATATCACCCTGCATGCTAATATTTATTTAACTCTCATATAAAAATTTTGGGTCTGTGTTTTTCACTCTTTTCCTGTTCATCTGTATTCTTGACAGGCTCTCTCAGTATTTGGAAGTTTAAATGCTCCGGGGCTCCATTTAGTTTGATGTATTTTCAGGAGTGACTGACCGCCCTTGCTGAATGTGTGTGTGCCTGATGGTCTATGCTCTCTGTCTATTGGGTTTTGCTGTTGGAAAGGAGAGATGCACCACTGGAGAATATGTCGAGTGCTCTGTAAACATTTCATTTTTTCACCAAAGGGAGAAAGACAGGGGTTGACTATTTTTGTGCCATGCCTCAGGGACTTCAGGTGAGTTTTGAAACTAATTCACAGTTGTGGACAAATTACTGTCATAGGAGGCCTGTGTATCTACACAGGTATCTGTGTAGATACACAGGGTATCTATCTATGACAGGGTATCTATCTATCTGCGTATCTATCTATGACAGAGCAAAATGACACACGATGTTCTTGCTACCCTCCATTTTACTTCCTGTAGCTGTTTATATAGAACAATTCTGTCATCATTTACGCACCCTTATGCTATTCCAGACCTATATGATTGTTCTGAGAAAATGTCCAGGCTGCTCTTTTTTCCATACATTGACGAAATGAAGTGTTTAAGGGTCATTGAGCTCCAAAAAATTTCAAAAGCACTATTTAAGTACCATAAACAAGTTTTTTTTCTTAAGTCATGTGATAGTTTTTGTGCTAAAACAGGCCAAACATGAATTCATTATTTGCTAAAAATCTTTCCCTTTACTAGTTCTCAAATCTCATATTGTGTCATATGCAAAATATATAATATAAAAAGTAATACAATTATTATTATGATTAATAACAATAATAGTAGTATTATATGTATATATTTTATATGAAACAGTATATTAACAATAATGACTAATAATATTATTATAATATTATTCGTTTGATATATATTTAAAAAAATGGTATGATATAATAATAATGACAATGTTTATATTAATAAAGTATTAATAATATTTGAATGTATGTAACATCATCAGTATGGTGCGTCGTTAATGCCAAAATGCTATTGGTTCTTGCATGTCTTCTAGGATTTAATGCTTTAGTTTAAATGTTAAGCCTATGGCTCATTCGAAATGTTGTGGTTCAGAGCATTATTTCTTGCTTAAAGTGTGAGTTGCAAGTGTAAGTCTTGCTCGACTGACACTTTTTTAATGAGCCAATTAAAAATTGTCATTTGTCAGTAGATGTTTATTAGTAATGGTGTTGTATTTGGTTGCACGTTCAGAGGGGAATAACCTCAAGTATGTTACTGCAGCCGCTGTTTTCAGCAAACGTGAAATTAATAGATTACATAATCAGATTTTTTAAGGACTGAAAGTAGGTCTAGAATCGCCAATGGTGCAACGTTTGAATTTGAAAGTGCAAATAAGACTTAAGAAGGCAGTTGGGAAGATTTTGGATCCTTTTATGTTCGATTGAAGAAAGGAAGTACATGTTTGGAATGATATGAGGGCTAAATATATAAAATGAACTATTCCTCTAATTGCTGGCGAAGCTGTGATTCATTTCTTGATGGTTCACATGGGGTGAAAAATGACTGTTTGCTCTTGATGCCTTGGGTAAGAAAGGATTGATTGATTGAATTGAGAAAACGGAAAAACTGAAAGAGCTTTAAAGCCATTTTATTTAGTATAATTATTTTTAACCTTTTTGCTTCATATACAGGTGATATCTGCATGAATGTTTCACAGGACTGTCTAAACATCCTTTATGAAATGGAAACTAGGATTAGCGGTTTGCGATAAAAAGCCTATTTGGATTTGTAATGGCTCATTGATCCAGTGAAAGTCTCCTCAGAACAGCATGTATGTGGGTAATGAGAAACTAATGTTGTCACTGTTTACTTCTCACCGCCTCGAAGGAACACAGTCAGTGCTGGTGGCCCTAGTGGGTCACACCAGACTGTAATCTGTTAAATTCAGACAGCACCGCATTGACAATTAAGAACCATAAAATCACAACTGTGAAGGCCTGCGGTGTGAATGTCCTGGTACAGCGCAAAAAGGCTGTTATTTGACCAGCAGTTATTATTTAAATGATAAATACATTGCACATGAAACTGCCACAAACACTTACAAAAAAAGAAAATGTTGAAAAATAATGTTTTACCCCGGCTAATCCAGTCTTATATAAATCACAGTTTCCACAAACATATTAAGCAGCACAAATGTTTTCCACCACATTGATAATAATAAGAATCAATGTTTCTTGAGCATCAAATCACCATGAGAATGATTTCTAAAATTCAGCTTTAGCATTACAGTAATAGATTGCTTTTAAAATATATTCAAATATATACACTTATTTTAAATTGTAATAATATTTCACAATATAACTGTTCTTACTGTATTTCTGGTCAAATAAAAGCATTAGAGACTTTCAAGAATGTAAAAAATCTTACCGACCCAAAATTTTGAACGGTAGTGTATTGTTTAATTTATTTAAAATATTTTTTTGTAAATATTTATATTTTCTGTTTTTTAAGATTTTCATTAAATGTTAAGCTTTCCTTACATTTAACATTTTTACTATGCATATTTACACAATTTTCCTTAAAAAACAGAAATTATGGAAATTATACTGCTAAAACGTAAATGACAATTTATTTGTCATTTTATAATGCAATGCAATGCAATATTACGGTACTGATTGGATTGTAGTTTAACGCATTCATACTGATGGTACAACTCTTCAGAATACCAAAGCAATGCCCATTTTCTTCAAATCTGTCACATGCTCTTCAAATCTGTCACATTTTCTTCAAATCTGTCACATGTCACATGCTCCACAGTAGTAGGCTAAAATCAGACTGAAAGACTTGTCGGAGATATGATGATAGATATGTCACTCCTGTCCTGAGAGCAATTATGAAATTACATAACATATCGACATATGCATAGATAGTGACCGTGAATGGCGGAGGGTTATGAGCTCCACAGAGGCACTAATGGAAACAGGGCAGCACAGGGCAATGTGAATGGAGAGCTGATAACTGACTGTACTTCATACTCAATGACTGACTCATTCAGTTCACTCTCGGCCTCCAATAAAACACCCACTCCTCTATCTGTCTATCTACTCGCTCCATAGATCCAGCTATCTTTTGTTTGGAGTCCCATGTAAATACCATGGTACATATATGTGGTAATCTCCAATGGTATACGTCAAAAAACCATGGTATTGATACTATCATATCATGAGACATTTAAA